GTGAATTGACTGTATATTTTGTGGGTGAAACATGGGAGCTAATTGCGCACAGCAGTGTCCCACAATCAGTCGTCAGATGAAATTGGTCGTTCACCTCCTGGCTGTTTATGGGACACTTCTGTTCACAAATTGGCTGCTGTGTCCATCTACGAAATACACATTCATTATACAGAAATCTTGTAAAATGCCTTGCAATGTTTCAACAATGTGGAAAGGCACTCTATCAAATGTAAAGATTATTATTGTTTTTATCTTTCTTGAATGCCTTGTGGCCTTGTAAGTATTGAATTCCATCCTCCTGCTTAGCCATGTCTGTGATTATTGACAAATTCATTGTTTACTAAGACTGAGGTTTTATTGCCATTAATTTATTGTAAATGAATAATCAAATAATATTTGTATTATAGGGCCTTTTTCTGGTTGCTGTCCTTGCTCCTATCTTCATTAGTTTGGTTTATTGCTGTAAAGGCTAGCAATGAAAATGATGCACAGCTACAGAAAACACTCATCATCTTTGGTGTCATGTTCTCAGTATTACTGCAGGAAGTCTTTCGCTTTGCTTATTACAAACTGCTAAGGTATGTATAACGTGTGAACCTTTGTGCCAATCCTCCCATCCCCATTTGTCTCTGAAATGTTAGACAAAAAATTTGGATTCATTACCGGAAGTGACCTTTGTGGTAATCACTTTCCACAGTGGGCAACAGAATTGTTTAAAAGGGAACTGATTAGACATGCAAGCAGCAAAACCATTAAGGAATATATAGAAAAGACTTTTCCTCCCTCGTTGGGAGCAAGTGCAAGAATTTTTTTCAGTACTAATCCTGACAGGATAATAATAATAATAATAACCCTTGCATTTGATAAGCCTTCACATCGAGGACGCCTCAAAGCGCTTCCAGAAACTGTAAAGAATATACTGAATTTGTGGGCGAACGCGGCAGCCAATTGCGCACAGCAATGTCCCACAAACAGTCGTAGATTGAAAATGACCAATTTATCATTGTTTTTGGTTTTGGAGGGATTATTATTAGGCTCTGTGTGGAGTAAGGAAACTTGCCCAAGGTTTCGCCCTCTGCCTGGAATTGAACTCAGGTCTCTCGCTTGCAAAGCGAGTGCTCTAACCACTGAGCTACAGGACTCCACTAATTGAGATGCTGAAGTATATCATGGTAGAAATGTATAGGTTACTTCTTCACTGAGCACAGCTCTAAGACCTTAATATCTTTTCTGAAGTGAGGTGCCTGTAACTGGACACAGTACTCCAGTTGCGGCCTAACCAATGATATGTACAAAGTTATCATTATGCTCCTGTACATATAACCCTATTAGTTTGCTTTACAGCCTTTGTCAGTTGCAATGCAACTTTCAATGACTTCTGTACCTACCCTCCTAAATCCCTTTGCTCTTCAGCTCCTTGCAAGATACTGCCAATCAATATATACTCCCTTCCCTCGTATCATTTGTGGTATCATTTTATATCACTGCTATCGTTTGTGTGAGCTGATGCTGCATTGTTTCCATGGCTTTGATATCCTTTCTATAATCGGAGGCACAGAATTGCATGTAGTACTTAAAGTCTAACCAATGTCTTGTATAAATTCAACTTAATTTCCTTGATTTATATTCAATATCTACATATAAAATCTGGAATCCCATTACCGTTCACACTTATTCAGCTGTAAATGATGCAGTGCTATAAAGAAGGCATTATAATTACTGAACATAATTGATAAGTAATTTTTATCTTTTAGAAAGGCCATCGAAGGTCTCTCAGCACTAAGTGAAGATGGACAGTCACCTCTAACAGTGCAGCAAATGGCCTATGGTAAGATCATTTTATTAGAAAATGTAAGAACAGTGGTACTGGATGCAGTTCATATTGCCTGGCAATGCATAAACTGTGGAATGACATTTAGGGTTTAATCGAGTTCTTAAATCGCTTGCAATCCCAGATGAATAGATGAATTACAACGTGGATTAGTTGAGTGGTGTTCAAATCCACTTTTAGATTATACAGTGGCTATTTAAGGTACTTTTAAGAGACTAAGTCACAGCCACATAAAATACTGTACAGCTTTCTTTTATTTCTCAGGTAGGTGTCAAAAGTCACTCATTACTATCTAATCGGTGATGAGATATATGCATCTAATAATAAAAAGCATACAGCGTTGAACCTGAGTTTTCTAAAAATAACTTGTCAGTTGTGTTGCATAAACTTTGCTATGCTTTTGTTGTCAAGAGTAACTGGAACCTCATTAACCACATGATAAACTAAACATGATGATGTGGTGTCTTTTGAGCATATGAAACCTGCCAAAAGAGTCAGTGCTGCTCTCAGTGAAATTGTTTAACTTTCCAATTCTGAGCATTAGACCCTCTGGATTACTTTCAAGACAGGATGTGTTGGAATGGATTAGAGCAGAAAAGTAAATCAGATGTTGTATGTCATGGATGCCCACAGGGACTTCATTTGACGGCTTAGATTTTGAAAGAATTAGGTCCAGCCCAATAGTTTTTCTTCGCTACAGGGGAAAATTCCCTCGCATATAAGGTTTCACCTCTAAAAAAATTCAGTGCAAATGTTGGTGTCAAGGCCACAACTCTAATTTCTGGCTTGTCATCTCTGAACATGCTGTTTAAGTTGTGTCTTGTCCATTTAAGAGTTCATATGATATTCATTTAAAGTGAGTTTGTGAAACAAAACTGTTCATTTGTCAACTACAGGCTAACATGCCTCAAATTTGCTTAGTGGGTCACTGTGAACCCGCACTATACATTTTTAAATAGAAATATTCAATCAGCTGAGATAGAAAGAACATATTATTGTTTAATAGTTTTTTTAAACAGAAGATTACAGATGGCCTTTTTGATGCAGATTTTAAATTATGTTAAATAGAAGCAATGAGTTTATTAATTTGATTACCTCCCATAGGAAGGCAGAATTATAAGAGTGGTAATTAACCTCTAATAATAATCCTTATATTTGATGTAGCACTTTTCACGTCAGGAGGATAGCTCAAAGTGCTTTATCTCCCTCAACTATCCTTTCTACCCCACATCTGAGCCATGACCCACTCTGCCTTCCCCCATCTCTGCAACATAAACTGCCTCCGCCACTGTCTCACACTGCAAGCCGCCGAAACCCTCATACATGCTTTCATTACATTGAGGCCCGATTATGCAAACTCATTGCTTGTTGGCCTCCCCAACTTCTCCCTCCATAGCCTGAGGATCACCCAGAACTCTGCAGTCCGTGTCCTCTCCTGCACTATTGGCGGGCAGGCCTTCTGCCACTCTGCCCCCACACTCTGGAACTCCATCCCGCAGTCCCTCCGCCTCACCCCCTCTCTTGCCTCCTTCAAGACCCATCTCAAAACCCTCCTCTTTGACCCTGCTTCCCCCCCTGCCCTTCATGCTCCCCGACCCCCAGCTCGGGTCTGAAACTCTGTCTGTCCAGCGCCTTGGGATGTCCTCCCGACGTGAAAGGCGTTATACAAATGTAATTTTGTTTTTGTTGCTGTTGTGTACAGGATTTTACTGTGGTGACTGTGTATTTTGTAGGTAAACATGATAGGCAATTTGCACACAGTAATGTCCTACAAACAACCGTGAAATGATTGAACAATTATATCTCGAGACTTATTGGCCAGGACAATAGAAAAAAACTCCCTTCTATTTTCAAATAGTGCCGTGGGATTTTTACCATCCACCTGAACAGGCAGATAGAGCCTTGGTTTAACGTCTCATCTGCAGTATAGTATCAAAGTAGACATAGGGCTTGAACCAATAACCTTCTGATTCAGGGGTGAGAGTGCTACCATCAAAGTCAGGGACAACAGGTGCAGTGACTTTAATGATGTGCTGTTATAACTGAAAAATACCTTCACAATGGTCCTCTCTGTTATCTCTTTAGATTGTATCAATCTTTTGCCTTTGTTAACTCATAAAGTGAAAGTCACTGCATTTAGCCGTGAAAGGAATATCTCCCCCCAATCTTACACTGTGTCCTGGGGCAGTACACTCCACATTCTCACAGTTGTGTGGCTCGTGATCTAATTTCTAACCACTTTAGGTCTAATTTTAAGACGCTTTTCCCTTGTTTTGAATCTCTTTGAAAGAGTGAAGCGTTGTTCAGAGCCTTCGTTCGTCCTCCTGACATGAAAGGTGTTATACAAATGTAATTGTTGGTTTCGTTGTCTAGCTTCTCATTTTCACTTTTTAACTTAAATAGCTCAATCAGATTTCCTCAAGTGATAATCTAACCCTTTTGTTATGAAGCAAATCTAAAGAATATTTTATTTTATCCTACAACTCTTGCTCAACTGCCTCAACCTGACAGGTGTCCTTTACATATCAAGCAACCTCTCTATCTTCCCATCGCTCCTGTATATGAATGTCAGCTGGATCGGTTTGCAGCACACTCGTCTCTGAGTCAGAAAGTTGTGTGCTGGAGCCTCATGTCGGGACTTTGAGGTCACAGTATAGGCTGACATTCCAGTACAGTGCTGGAGAGCACCGAATTGTTGGAGGTGACGTCCATCAAATGAGAGATTAAAACCGAGGTTCCCGTCTGCCTCTTTAAGTGGACAATGTTAAAGATCCCGTGGCACCATTTCAAAAGAGAAAGGAGTTTCTCTCCGTCCTGGCCACTGGATCTCCAGATGAAATTGGTCGTTCACCTCCTGGCTGTTTATGGGACACTTCTGTTCACAAATTGGCTGCTGTGTCCATCTACGAAATACACATTCATTATACAGAAATCTTGTAAAATGCCTTGCAATGTTTCAACAATGTGGAAAGGCACTCTATCAAATGTAAAGATTATTATTGTTTTTATCTTTCTTGAATGCCTTGTGGCCTTGTAAGTATTGAATTCCATCCTCCTGCTTAGCCATGTCTGTGATTATTGACAAATTCATTGTTTACTAAGACTGAGGTTTTATTGCCATTAATTTATTGTAAATGAATAATCAAATAATATTTGTATTATAGGGCCTTTTTCTGGTTGCTGTCCTTGCTCCTATCTTCATTAGTTTGGTTTATTGCTGTAAAGGCTAGCAATGAAAATGATGCACAGCTACAGAAAACACTCATCATCTTTGGTGTCATGTTCTCAGTATTACTGCAGGAAGTCTTTCGCTTTGCTTATTACAAACTGCTAAGGTATGTATAACGTGTGAACCTTTGTGCCAATCCTCCCATCCCCATTTGTCTCTGAAATGTTAGACAAAAAATTTGGATTCATTACCGGAAGTGACCTTTGTGGTAATCACTTTCCACAGTGGGCAACAGAATTGTTTAAAAGGGAACTGATTAGACATGCAAGCAGCAAAACCATTAAGGAATATATAGAAAAGACTTTTCCTCCCTCGTTGGGAGCAAGTGCAAGAATTTTTTTCAGTACTAATCCTGACAGGATAATAATAATAATAATAACCCTTGCATTTGATATAGCGCTTTTCACATCGGGAGGACGTCCCAAAGCGCTTCACAGAACGCACTGTAAAGTGAATTGACTGTATATTTGTGGGCGAACGCGGCAGCCAATTGCGCACAGCAATGTCCCACAAACAGTCGTAGATTGAAAATGACCAATTTATCATTGTTTTTGGTTTTGGAGGGATTATTATTAGGCTCTGTGTGGAGTAAGGAAACTTGCCCAAGGTTTCGCCCTCTGCCTGGAATTGAACTCAGGTCTCTCGCTTGCAAAGCGAGTGCTCTAACCACTGAGCTACAGGACTCCACTAATTGAGATGCTGAAGTATATCATGGTAGAAATGTATAGGTTACTTCTTCACTGAGCACAGCTCTAAGACCTTAATATCTTTTCTGAAGTGAGGTGCCTGTAACTGGACACAGTACTCCAGTTGCGGCCTAACCAATGATATGTACAAAGTTATCATTATGCTCCTGTACATATAACCCTATTAGTTTGCTTTACAGCCTTTGTCAGTTGCAATGCAACTTTCAATGACTTCTGTACCTACCCTCCTAAATCCCTTTGCTCTTCAGCTCCTTGCAAGATACTGCCAATCAATATATACTCCCTTCCCTCGTATCATTTGTGGTATCATTTTATATCACTGCTATCGTTTGTGTGAGCTGATGCTGCATTGTTTCCATGGCTTTGATATCCTTTCTATAATCGGAGGCACAGAATTGCATGTAGTACTTAAAGTCTAACCAATGTCTTGTATAAATTCAACTTAATTTCCTTGATTTATATTCAATATCTACATATAAAATCTGGAATCCCATTACCGTTCACACTTATTCAGCTGTAAATGATGCAGTGCTATAAAGAAGGGCATTATAATTACTGAACATAATTGATAAGTAATTTTTATCTTTTAGAAAGGCCATCGAAGGTCTCTCAGCACTAAGTGAAGATGGACAGTCACCTCTAACAGTGCAGCAAATGGCCTATGGTAAGATCATTTTATTAGAAAATGTAAGAACAGTGGTACTGGATGCAGTTCATATTGCCTGGCAATGCATAAACTGTGGAATGACATTTAGGGTTTAATCGAGTTCTTAAATCGCTTGCAATCCCAGATGAATAGATGAATTACAACGTGGATTAGTTGAGTGGTGTTCAAATCCACTTTTAGATTATACAGTGGCTATTTAAGGTACTTTTAAGAGACTAAGTCACAGCCACATAAAATACTGTACAGCTTTCTTTTATTTCTCAGGTAGGTGTCAAAAGTCACTCATTACTATCTAATCGGTGATGAGATATATGCATCTAATAATAATAATAATAATAATCCTTGCATTTGATATAGCGCTTTTCACGTCGGGAGGACGTCCCAAAGCACTTCACAGAATATACTGTAAAGTGAATTGACTGTATATTTGTGGGCGAACGCGGCAGCCAATTGCGCACAGCAATGTCCCACAAACAGTCGTAGATTGAAAATGACCAATTTATTATTGGTTTTTTTTTTGGAGGGATTATTATTAGGCTCTGTGTGGAGTAAGGAAACTTGCCCAAGGTTTCGCCCTGACCTGCCTGGAATTGAACTCAGGTCTCTCACTTGCAAAGCGAGTGCTCTAACCACTGAGCTACAGGACTCCACGAGAATCTGGAGAATCTCTGGAGAATCTGTACTCTATTAGAGATGAAAGTAATCGATTTATTGCTAAAGATTCTGTTTGAAATACCCTCTGTATCCCTTCTTCCATTTAATTTATCATTAATCATTCTATCAATCTGGGATCGGTGTATGGTAAAGATTATCAGATCAAGCTTTTATAACTTGCACATCAAACAAGATGTATTTGTTGACCTTAAGGCAAACATAATTTGAATACCACCTGCTAAAATAAATCATTTACTGGTACATGAGAGTATCAGCCAGTGGCAGATCAATGACTTAAATATTCTGTGAAACATTTTTCAAAAAAAGCACAAGTTCTATGATTCTGTGATTCTAAGTGAACTTTAATGGGCCTTATGAGAAGCTTGGAGAAGGTAAGATCAAATCTGAAGTATAGTGGCTGCAACCCCAAAGTACTCTATAAATGGATTAGGAGAATTTTTTTATACACACTTGGGATGTGAGTCACATAGCCAGTGTTGATTGCCCACACCTAGTTGCACTGTAAGAGTGGTGATGGGCCTTCTCTTTAAACCCCTTTAGTCCTTGTGAATGATGCTCCCACAATAATGTGGGGTTGAGACTTCCAAAAAAATTTTCTTCAACCCCCTATTGGATATGTCCAAGTCCGATAGTGAGTGACTTGGACCGAAACTTGGATTTGATGGGGTTCCCATGATGATCACTATTTTTGTTCTCCTGAGTGTTGGTGTGTTGCTGCTGTGCATTCTGTAGATTATGCATACTGCAGCCACAGAGTAACAGAGAGAGAGAGAGAATGAATGAATCTTGGCTTGAGCGGCAACAACAACAACAACAACTTGGATTTATATAGCGCCCTCGGTGTTTCAGAGGCTTTACAGTAACAGATCCCGGGACAGAGCCAGGGGGAGGGGGGGGGAGGTGACCAAAGGCGCGTTCAGCAGAGACCTGAAAATGGGAAGGGAGGGAGCGAGGTAAAGGGAGTGAGGAAGGCAGTTCCAGAGCCTCGGGCATAGTGGCTGAAGGCACGGCCGCCGAGGGTGGAGCGGAGGACTTGGGGACGAGGAAGAGGCCAGACCCAGAGGAACGGAGGCAACGGGTACCGTTTTGAGGAGAGAGGAGGTCAGAGAGGTCGGGGGGTGCAGAGGAGTGCAGGGACTTGAATACAAAGGTGAGGATCTTGAAATCGATCCTCTCTGGGATAGGCAGCCGGTGCAGTCTGGCAAGGAGTGGGGTGATTGGGGAGCGGAGTTTCATGCGAGTGAGAATGCGGGCGGCAGAGTTTTGAATGAAATGGATTTTATGGATGGTAGTGGATGGGAGACTGGCGAGGAGGGCGTTAGATTAGTCCAGCCGAGAGGTGACAAAGGCAGAGGTGTGATGAAGCAAACTGCTTTTTAAACAAGACTAGTGAGACTTTACATTTGTTCTGGGTCTTAAATATCAGCTCCTCTCTCTCTCTCTATCTCTGTACCTTGTGATCTCAGGCCAACGGATACATTTTCCGGGATCCCTTCAAAAAATGTTTTAAAAAATTTTTTTTGACACTCAATCCACGACTGTTTGTGGGTCACTGCTGTGCGCAATTGACTGGTGCGTTTTGCCCACAAAATACGCAATCAATTCATTTTACAGTGTATCCTCTGAAGCGCTTTGAGACGTCAATAAGACCAAGGTTTTCCTGATTGGCTCCCGTCGGCGCCTCCTTACCTCAGGCGCTGACTGCATCACCATCCATGGTTGAACACTCCACCTTGCTAAGCCAGTCCAGAACCTTGGCGTCTTGCTCGACTCTCAACTATCCTTTCTACCCCATATCTGCGCCATGACCCGCTCTGCCTTCCCCCACCTCCCCAACATCGCCCGTCTCTGCCTCTGTCTCACTCCGCAGGCCGCCAAAATCCTCATACATGCTTTCATTACATCGAGGCTTGACTATGCAAACTCATCGCTTGTCAGCCTCCCCAACTGCTCCCTCCATAGGCTGCAGATTATCCAGAACTCTGCAGCCCTCATCATCTCCCACACTAAGCTTCTGTGACTCTTATCACTCCTATCCTCGCCCGACTCCACTGAGGATACAGTTCAGGATCCTGGTCCTCACCTTCAAAACCCTCCATGGTCTTTGCTCCTCCCTACCTCTGCGACCTCCTAACACCCTTACCACCCTGTTCGCTCCCTCCAATCAGCGGGCTCCAGCCTGCTCCATGTTCCCCGCCTCGCCCGCCCCACTATTGGCGGGTGGGCCTTCTGCCACTCTGTCCCCACCCTCTGGAACTCCATCCCGCAGTCTATCTGCCTCACCCCCTGCCTTGCCGCCTTCAAGACCCATCTCAACACCCCCCTCTTCAACCGTGCTTTCGATCTCCCTGCTTCCCCTGCTGCCCTCCACACTTGCCAACCTCGAACTCCAGCTCAGGTCCATAACTCTGTCTATCCAGTGCTTTGGGACGTCCTCCCGATGTGAAAGCCGTTATACAAATGTAATTTTGTTGTTGTCTCGAAGATGTGATAAGGTGCTATATCAAATGCAAGGTTTATTATTATTATTTAGGAGAATCTGAATTGCAGCCCCATACATTTCTTTTAATGAATGACAAGCTACATTTTAGAATTAAGATTACATTTACAACATTTCATTTTTTTTTCAGTGGGAGGACTGGGATTTGGAATCATGAGTGGAGCTTTCTCAGTTGTCAACATCCTTGCAGATTCAGCAGGACCAGGGACCGTGGGCATCTTTCATGATTCTCAGTATTATTTCCTCACGTCAGGTAAATATCATAGCTACTGAAACCACCTTGTGTTTTTTTCTAACATTTCTAGAAGATGTGAAAACCACTATATTAAATGCAAGGATTATTATTATTATTATTTCAGAAATAAACTACTTTCATAATTCTCTTGTTTCTTGCTTAAATCCAAGAAAGCTTGAGAATAATAATAATAATCCTTGCATTTGATATAGTGCCTTATCACAACAACAACAACAACAACAACAACCTGGATTTATATAGGGCCCTCCACGCCGGACGGCGTTTCAGAGCGCTTTACAGTAACGGATCCCGGGACCGAACCGGGGGGAGGAAGGTGACCAAAGGCACGGTCAAAAAGAAAGGTCTTCAGCAGAGACCTGAAAATGGGAAGGGAGGGAGCGAGGTGAAGGGAGTGAGGAAGGCAGTTCCAGAGCCTCAGGGTATAGTGGCTGAAGACACAGCCGCCGAGGATGGAGCGGAGGACTTGGGAGAAGAGGAGGAGGCCAGACCCGGAGGAATGGAGGCAACGGGTACTGTTTTGAGGAGAGAGGAGGTCAGAGAGGTAGGGGGGTGCAGAGGAGTGCAGGGACTTGAATACAAAGGTGAGGATCTTGAAGTCGATCCTCTCTGGGATAGGCATCCGGTGCAGTCTGGCAAGGACTGGGGTAATCGGGGAGCGGAGTTTTGTGCGGGTGAGAATGAGGGCGGCAGAGTTTTGAATGATTTTGATTTTATGGATGCTAGTGGATGGGAGACCGGTGAGGATGGCGTTAGAGTAGTCCAGCCGAGAGGTGACAAAGGCATGGACCAGTGTTTCATCGGCTTTTTGGGAGAGGTATTGGCAGAGACGGGTGATGCGTCGGAGGTGGTGCTGGTGAGGGACCGGATGTGGGGGAGGAAGGATAATTGGGGGTTGAACCTGATGCCTAGGTTGCGTATGGGTTCGGAGAGTTTTAGGGGGAGGTCGGGTAGGTGGAGGAGGTGAAAGCCGTGAGATTTTAGACGTTGACGAGAGCCAAAGAGTATGGCTTCCTCTTGTTAACGTTCAGCTGGAGGAAGTTTGCGCTCATCCAGCCCCTGAGATCTGACAGGCAGGCTGACAGAACATCAGGGGACTGCGGGTCGCAAAGACGGGTGGAAAAATAGAGTTGGGTGACATCTGGATACGTGTGGAAATGTACCCCATGTCTGCAGATGACATCCCCAAGAGGGAGCATGTAGATCAGAAAGCGGAAGGGGCCAAGGATGGATCCTTGGGGTACCCTGCAGGTGACTGGGTGAGAGTGGGAGGAGAAGCCGTTTGTCCAGTTGTACTGCTGGTGGTTTGTGAGGTAGGACTCGAACTTTGAGTCTTTGAGACGTCTATGAGACGTCTCAAAGCGCTTCACAGAATATACTGTAAAGTGAATTGATTGTATATTTTTTTGTGGGAGAAACATGGCAGCCAATTGTGCACAGCAGTCCCACAAACAATCGTGGATTGATTGACCAAATTATATTTTTATTTTATTTTCTTGGAGGAATTATTACCCCCAGAAAGGTGATCTGAAATTGACTAACAACCGGTAGGTGAACAGAGGCATGTGGAGTAAGGAAACTTGCCCAAAGTTTCGCCCTGCTGGGAATCGAACCCAGGTCCTTTTGCTTGCGAGGCGAGTGCTCTAAACAACAAGCTACAGGATTCCACGAGTATACAAATCATGCATCTAAAAACAGTCTTTTGAGAACTTTTGTTTCAGGTTTTGACATTCCAGCCTTCCAATTAGGAAAACACTTGATGCTGTAATGGGACGACAGTAGGGTTTGCTTATTGGAAGACTGAGTCACCAGGCAAACCTTTCTTCTTCTTGGGAGCTTTCAGATTCATTTATTTTCATGTGTAAAGTGAAAGTGAGATTCCCCGATTCCACTTGTAGAGACTTCTTTCTGGCTTAGTGGTTTTTTTCTTTGTGTCATTTTATCATGTAGCATTACATTGATTCCTTTATAAGTACAAGCATTTGTAGTGGCTGCTGTGTTGTGTCTATTCACTGGCAGAATGGCTCAATTGTTAGCCCTCTTACCCACGAGTCCAAACATTTTTGTTTTACGCAGTAAGAAGTTCAAAAGTGGATGTGGTTTTGCTGATGATATGATTTAGGAAGATGATAGCTGTCTTTTGATATTGATGAGCTGTTTTGTACAAATGATATGAAACTGCAAATTTTAACATATTGTGTTTAATGAAGTAATCTTGAGGCTTAATCAATGATTAACAAAAGTCTGCAACTGGTTTGCAACTATGCTGCAAGAAAATTAGAATTCCTTGATTTCTGACATTTTACATAAAATACAGAAGAAAAGTATTAAACGAGCAGTTGGCAACAATTACCACATCAAGGAAAACTGCAAACTTTAAATGTTTAATGGCTGGGCTTTGTGTCGTAATGTTTTAACTTCACTGGAGTACTCCCTTCAGATTTTTCCAAATAAGATGGCGGTCACAAATTTATTGCTGATAAATGGCTGTTTTTTTAATTTGTTGGGCGGTCTATATTTGTGGGGCTTCTTGTATTTGATATGCCAACTCAAATTTAAACAACCTAACATGATCTTTAGCAAACATGGTATAGCAGATGAGGATTAATACTGTTCAATGTCATGAGTTGAGGGACAGAATCTCCCATGAGGACACAGTGGTTGAAGTGTTGCTCTTGAAATGCTCGAGAATCAACATTTGACGGATGGATTGAACGTGCTGTAATTTTGTATGTTCAGTTCTGCTCTGTACCACACAGAAGACCTGCTGATATTTAAATAGTTTTCTCAGCTTGATGTGTATAGTATTTAAAATAGCTGACACCCCCAACTGGTAGATAATGCTTTACTGTTAAAACTCAAGTTCAGTACTTGTGAGTCAGCCAAATAATTTGCTATGTTTGCCAAATGAAACCAGGAAAAAACACATTGAACTCCAGTATAATTCACAGCAGTGAATTTTTCCACTAATTATTTTATAAAATAAAAAGTTATATAAAAAATGAACAAGGCTCTGTTTTAAACATTTCATCCTGATTAAATGAGTGCACTGCGGGGCTACATTGCACATTGACTGAATGATTTTTTTAAAGGATTTTCCCCCATTTATAAATAGTTAAGGAAATGTTTAGAATCTACCATTGAAGTATACTCACAAAAGCACGACTGATGGATATTCCAGGTAACCTGAAATAAACATGCTGTTTTCAATAATGTCTTTTTTTCTTAAATTGGTTGGTTTCTTTTGTCAAACTATTACTTCTCTTGTATGGGTGATACCATTTACCCTGAGAGCCTGAGGAGTCCAGAGCTAGGAAAGTTGTAAAGTTCTAACAATTTAGTACTAAACACCAATTTAATACTATTTCATACAAGGTATGAAATAATTCTGTCCACTTCCATAGACCTGCAGTTTATCATGTTTGTAGCATAGTGTTAGAACACTTGCCTCGCAAGTGAGAGGACCCAGGTTCGATTCCTGGATGGAGCAAAACCTGAGGCAAGTTTACTTCACACGCAAGGTTCCTTACTCCATCAAAAGTAGGAACCCTGTTGTTAGTTGATTGGCGGATCCCTTTCCACAGTTAATAATAGCTTAAAAAAATGTGGTCACTCAATCCACGATATTTGTAGGATATTGCTTTGCGGAATTGGTTGCTGTTTCACCCACAATATACAGTCAAATCCACTTTACAATATATTCTGTGAAGTGCTTTAAGACATCTCAATGACGTGATAAAGCTATATCAAATGCAAGGATTATTATTACCATCATTGGATCCAAACACCCACGTTTGCTTCAGTGAATATCCCGGTGGCGTGGAATCTTGACGGTTGAATAAATACTATAGTATTTTCTTTTTGCAGCTTTTATGACGATGGCCATCATTCTCCTGCATACGTTCTGGAGCGTAATATTCTTTGATGGATTTGAGAATAAGCGGTGGTGGGCTATCATGGCAGTCATTGCAACACACTTCCTGGTCTCAGGACTGGTGAGATTTCCGCTTTGTTCTATTTTGAACATTTTACACATTGATGTTGTCACTTCCTCCTGTAGTATGTTCATGGTTTCAACTTTAATTTTGTGGAATAGATGCCTCGTGCAATAATATTAGGGTAAATATTTATCACAGTACCTTTGAAGAATTGATTTTTATTGTTGCGAAGAAAATGCAAAATTTTCCTGTGCAATAAGAATACAGGGAAAGAGCAAATTTCCGTGGTTTATTAGATGAAATCTCCTGTGCCTCATTAGAGAAGTAAAGCATTGCTGTCAACCTGCTTGCCTTAAAGGGGACTGACCCTTTAACTGAGTTTTACTCAGCACCCCCCCTTGTAGGGTGACTACATTTTGTAAAACAAATCCGGGGACAAATTTATGAAAAACTTGAAATCACCACATTTGCTGACGTTGGCAGTACTGGAGAAGCTTGTTGGATTAGTGGCTGAGTTTCTCTGAGGAGTGTATCTGTTTTAGAATGTTATTGTAGTTGCTCAGTTTGTTGCTGAACTCAAGACAGGGCAAATTTGGCTCCATGGACACAATACCTCATCTGGGGCCTGTCCCTGGAAATCGGGAGCCTGTGGTCAACATTTATACCCCAAAATATTTTCACCTGACGCCTCTGGGTGTAGTAGCTAACCTAAGGATACGTCAACAGACTTGTCCGTTCAGTAACTTGTTGCAATCTTTTCTCCCCAAAATTTCAGCAGCAATGAGAGAGGGGAATATTTTAGTCAGAAGTGAACAATAAACCGAACCTTTTATTATCTTCCTTTTCTGCCCCTCCTTAAAGCAATAACTTGTGCTGGGGCAATAACTCAGGTACTGGCAGTTGTCTGATATCTTGCCCAAATCACTGTTCTTCACGTGTGTGCCTGGACAGTGAATGTTGACAGGGCTTTTTAACCATATGGGGAATGGGGAAAAAAATCCTGGCTGAGTCAGAACTTGTCTTCATAGATACCAGCAGGAGTCAGTGAGTTACAGCGGGTATTCTGGCTGGTGTATGTTTTTCCCTATCACCTACAGTGAAGCAGATGTTAACACTTCTACTGCCACTCCAGTGGAAGACTGGCACACAGAACAGATAAATATAATACAAATATATGTATATAGATTTAAAAAATTCGAAAAAAAGAAAAAGCTGAAAACTATTGGATGAAATTTTGAACAGGAATTTGCAGAGCAGCATTTACAATGTCAAGTCATTGAAGACTTTCCCCATTATAATCACAGATAGCTAAAGTTGCGGCACGTAATAGAAGCTGGAATTTCAGCTCTGTGCAATCTTGCTACTCTCTATGGCTCCATACCCGACAGGGATTCGTCCATCAAGCCATCAGTGAAACATTTGTTTAAGCTGCCGAGAGGGTTCAGTGTGCGTTATGCTTGTTTAATTTCTGTTATGTATGTTTGCTTTATATTGCTGTTCAAACTCGGTATATTGGTAAAAATACAGTATATTTTTCATTTCTACCCCCAGACATTTCTGAATCCATTTTACGAGGTAAGCCTTATTCCAGCGTATGTGATTATGGTTGTCATGGCAGCCTGGGCTTACTTCACATCAGGGGGATCATTTGAAAATCTTCAGCATTTCTTCACACGTAAGTCTTTATATCTATATCGATAGTTTGAATAATATAAAGGAAAAAAACCTACAGATGCCAGAAAAATTCTTATAACAACTTTTCTGTTTCCTTTTGATTTCAAATTATTTCTACTTTTTCCCACCTTCTAAAGTTATCTATTCTATGCACCTTCACTGGCTAAAAGGTTGGGTTAGAGACACTAGTTTCTGCCGATGTGTTTGGAGCCTTCCTGTTGGAGCAGAGAAGGTTGTTGATAGGGTGGAGGTGTTTCAACATAATGAATAGATACGAGGGAATTGATTGTGAGAAACTCTTTTCACTGATAATGCATTCAAGAGCAGGAGTTCCAAGATTGTTACTATGGGAGTTACTCGTGGAGTCCTGTAGCTCAGTGGTTAGAGTGCTTGCCTCACAGGCTGGAGGACCTGCGATCGATTCCTGGGCAGGGCGAAAAGTTGGGCAAGTTTCCTTACTCCATTCGCCTCTGTCTACTTAGCAGTAAGTAAGAACCCTTCAAGGATGAGATAGCTCGGGGACAGAACAAATACATTCCCAGAAAAGGGAAAAGTAGGGCATCCAAACCTCCCTGGATGACAAAGGTAATTGTATCTAGAATGAAGCAGAAAAGGGAGGCGTATGACAAATGTCAAGCCCAAGATACAGAAAACAACCAAATAGGATATAGGAAGTACAGAAGAGAACTTAAAAAGGAAATAAGAGGGGCAAAAAGATTATACACAAAAAGGTTAGTGGTTAACATTAAAGGTTATCCGAAAATATTTTACAAACATCAAGAACAAAAAGGTTAGTCAAAGGTAGGGTGGGGCCAATTAAGGACCAAGGCAGAAATCTTATTGTGGAGACAGAGGGCATGGCTGATGTACTGAATGAATACTTTGCATCTGTCTTCACAAAAGAAGTGGATGCACCAAATGCCGCAGTATCGGAGGAGAGGGTAGAGGAAATGGATAGGATAAGTATAAACAGAGAGGAAGTACTGAAAAAGTTGACTGGGCTCAAGGTAGATAAGTCGCCCGATCCGGACGGAATGCAACCAAGGTTACTATGGGAGGCACGGGTACAAATAGTGGAGGCCTTGGCTACAATTTTTCAATCTTTGTTGGACACAGGAGTGGTGCCACAGGACTGGAGAGTGGCCAATGTGACTCCCCTGTACAAAAAGGGACAGAAGGACAAACTTGGGAACTACAGGCCAGTCAGCCTAACATCAGTAGTGGGGAAACTCCTGGATAGAATAAATCTTCACTCAGAAAAATATGGGTTAATTAGGGACAGCCAGCACAGATTTGTTAAAGGCAAATCTTGCCTAACAAATCTAGTAGAATTTTTTGATGAGGTAATAGAAAAGGTGGATGAAGGTAATGCAGTTGATGTAGTTTATATGGACTTTCAAAAGGCATTTGACAAAGTGCCACATAAAAGACTTGTAAGAAAAATAGAAGCCCATGGTATAAAATGGACAGTGGCAGCATAGATCCAGAACTGGCTGGGAGACAGAAAGCAGAGAGTTGTAGTGAACGGCTGCTTTTCTAACTGGAGGGAAGTGTACAGTGACGTCCACCAGGGATTGGTGTTGGGACCACTGCTCTTCTTAACATATATAAATGATCTGGACTTGGGTATACCGTTTCCAAGTTTGCGGACGACACAAAGTTAGGTAGGGTAGTAAACAGTGAGAAGAATAGTAGCCAACTGCAGGAAGACATAGACAGTATGGTAAAATGGTCAGACACATGGCAGATTAATTTCAATGTGGAGAAATATGACGTAATGCATTTTGGAAGAAAGAATGAGAGGAGGCAGTATAAGCTAGGTAATACAATCTTAAGGGGGGTGAAGGAACAGAGAGACCTGGGGGTTCAGGTTAATAAATCCTTGAAGGTGGCAGGACAGGTAGATAAAGCTGTAAAAAAGGCACATGGGATACTAGGCTTTATAAATAGGGGCATAGAGAACAAGAGTCGGGAGGTTATGATTAACCTATATTGCTGTGAGCAATTGGCTCGGTTCCATAACTCTGTCCAGCGCCTTGGGATGTCTTCCTAACGTGAAGAGCACTTTACAAATGTAATTTTGTTGTTGCTGTATTGCCAAGGTACGGAATAATTTGCACAACAACAACAACAACAACAAGATTCCATTTATAAAGCGCCTTTCACGTCAGGAGGACGTCCCAAGGCGCTGCACAGTTGGGTCATGACCCGAGCAGGGGTGAAATGGTCAGGGTGAGGGGAGGGGAGGGAGCGAGGAGGGGGGAAATGGTCAGGGTGAGGGGAGGGATGGGAGGGAGCGAGAAGGGGGAAGAGAGTCGAGAGGGGAGCTGAAGGCTCGGTTCTGGTTCTGTTAGAGCAGGGTCATTTCGGACATTTAAAAAGAATTGGATAAAGAAGGTTTGGAATAAGGCATTAAGAAAAGTTAGAATAATGAGTACGAAGTTAAGAATGTACTAACGATTGACTCCTTTGCTTTAGGTAAGAAACTCCAATAGCATTGTTGTTATGGACTGTCTCCTGATAGAAAAGAAATTCACAACAATCACTGCTGTGGGATGACGTCCCATCAGGAACTACACAGTGCTGGACAACAAGAGTGGAACTTATTTCAAGTGTGAAGATGAATGAAGCAATATCATGCCACTAAGCATTACAAGGAACAGTTGTAAATAGAAGATAATAATTCAGCACAGGTCTACTTAATTCTTAAGGGAGTGCTTATGTGCAAAAGAACTTTATAATGAATGGAAACATTTGCAATTACAGAGCTTTATGCCATGATTGATTTAGTTTTTGCAGTAGCCTAGAACTAACATTATTGTATTTTTTAAAAATAGAAATACATGTCTTATTACAACCAGGAAAATATTATTCTTTACATCATGTTTATGCAATGGATAGTAAGCCAGGTGATATTCACGACCTGAAACTGACACGTATTAGGGTTTTATTGGTTTCCCCATAAAATCATATTTTGACATTATCATGAGCCACAAATAATAAAGAATGGTTATTAAATGCTTATAACTTGCTTAAGACAAAATCGTATATGGCTGTACGGTGCAGCTAAGAATAAGTGTGGCTGATACAAAGATGATGGCTATAATTTGATTCTCTCCCCTTCCCCGCATGCTCATGGGAAGTTCACACCTCTCCATAGATCTACATAAGTTTCTCCTCCTTCCCCAACCTACAACAACAACAACAACAAAATTACATTTGTATAGCGCCTTTCACGTCAGGAGGATGTCCCAAGACCTACCTTGGATTCTGAGTAAAGATCAAGTAAAAAATCGAAATTGTGAAAACTCTCTCGACATATTTAAACTTTGATTATTTAATTTCTTGGGTAAGTGGTAGTGGTTAGCCATGGAGAGGGAGTACTAAGCTTCTAGTAGTCTCAACATACAGGTAGTGTAATGCAAATTCAAGTCAGTAGATCTCTGGATAACTTGTTTTGTGACGGTAAAGTGTTTCATAATATTTCTCACAAAATTGATCTACATAGAAGCTAAAATTCGTATTCCTTTTTGATACCAAGTTTTCAATTTTATAGTTCTATATAAATTCAACGGAAGGATGGTTGCAGGACATACACTATATCATTCCTTTTTGACAGAGGATAAATGAGAGATTGAACTGATTACCATGAAGAGTGACTGAGGCCAGTTGGCTTGACCTATGTACGATTCTGTAATGGGAAGTTGTTGAGGCCAAATGAGCTGAAAGGTCTTCATCCAGATGTCTTTTATGATCTTATGAAATGGAACTGTCAGTATATATAACATTTATCTGTAGTATGTAGCACTTTGTAATTAAAGTATAAGTTTTATTTTTGTGACTGCACACCCTCTGGAAAACAAATTATTCAAACATTTATTTTGGATCCTTCTTGAACCGGAGTCTTGATGTTTTCTTCAATATGAGTAAGGTGCAGCTAAAAGTTTCATTGGATCCTCGATTACAATTCAACACTCTTCTGGATTTTGAACATTCACAGGAGTTGTTGTTTTATGGAGAATATTGTTGATTATTTCACATTGCATTTGCATGCTGTCTCATTGCATGATGATATGTACAATCCAGATTCAAAAGTGTCTGTAGCTCCACTACAGTTAGTAAGTATCTGGCTACAGAGTATCTGACACTTGATTTGTTCAATTTAAATTTTTAATAATTTCACAGCAGTCAGCAAAATAATCCCCAATGCAATAAATGTGCCTTACCTATTAGTTCTGTATGTGGAATGAAAATTATGATCAGTGAAGTTATATTTTCCATATTGTTTCAAATTGCAGTCTGGCAGTTGGTATGATGATTGAAACCAAGTCACCATTGCAGTGTTGGACACAGAACTGCAGTTTATTGCAGGCTCACAGGATATAAGCTGAGTTAGGTTGATGGCCCAGGAATCAGCACTCAAATGCTGCTCTCAAGTTGCCAATTATTTTTTAATTATAACACATAATAATAATAATAATAATCCTTGCATTTGATGTACGCTTTTCACCTCTTGTTGATGAATTCTCCACCCAGTTTTGACCTGGGTTCGGAGTTCAAATTTAAGTTTAGGTCAAACTTCCGTCAGTTGGTATCATCCACTACATGGGAAAAATTAAGTGCCCAGCAATTAAATCTACCCTTTTTTGGAGTGGAATCGAGTTGGTTCAATCTATTTTAGGCATCACCCAATCATTCACTATGATCTGTGTTTCAGCATATGCAGAATTGACATTGAATGAAATCAGCGCTCTTGAAAAAATTGTGGAAAAAATCTACCGGTTATAATAATGTAGTCAGAATCTGTACCAACAATCACAAGTTGGTGGGGCAGTTATAATATAATGATGCTTCAATTTGACATAGCGCCTCATAATGTGGTCCAGACATATCAAAGTACTTCACAGGATAAACTGTAGTTCAGTAGTTAGTGCACATTGCTGCCTCAATTTACTTACATGGGCATCAGGCATAATGTTATATATGATCATTTGTAAGGGTTGAAGAGGAGAGTCTTGAGATGCGCCTTGAAGGGGGCAAGGGTAGGAGCAAGGTGAAGGGATTGTGGGAAGGAGTTCAAAGGGTGGGGGCAGAAACTAGAAATTGGAATCTATTTTTGGCCGATAGAATATTTTAGGAATCTCAGACTATACATTGGTCTATAAACTCTGACCCCATTCTCGCATGGGGAAATGTGTTAACTTGTAATGCTCTCAAAATACACAGTCAATTCACTCTACAGTATATTCTGTGAAGCGCTTTGCGACATCTCGAAGATGTGATAAGGCGCTAGATCAAATGCAAGGATTATTATTATTATTATTGACTCACGGTCCATGACACTCAAAAATCAAACCACACTGCAGTTAAGTGCTCCGAGACGCTACCTGTATGAAGGTATGAATGTATTAAGTGCTGTATAATTGCAAATCGTTGTTGCTGTTGTTCAGAAATGGGGTGAATGTCTTTCTGCTCAGCAGGAAGTTAGGATAGCTGCTCACAATATTTTGTAATATGGAAGCTAGTCCCTTGCTGGTAAGTTCTTGAACTTTGGAAGGCAGAATCTAGTACGTAGTACATAGTTCAATACAATTACAATCCGATGGCTGTCAGCGAGCATGACCCTTGAAGCTTAACCTGCTAGAATTTTGCCCTCTTGTGTCAGTAAATTGAAGGTGAGCCTATTTTTAAAAGAAAATGCTGCTAATCTTCTAAATTTCCAGCGCACTGGAATATCTTTCCGACATGACGGGCCCTATACAATTGTAAATTTTTGTTGTCACTGATCACTCTGTTGAAGATGAGTAAATAAAGCAACAATCACAGTTTTACTCTATGAAACCTATTATGATGCTTGAACATGTCCAAAATATAGTCAAAAATAATTGTAATTTTTTTACTTATTCTTTGAGATAGATTTTTGTGCTGAACGGGCTGATGGCAATGTTAGGAAATTGAACTTTTTTCACACTTTGAACATCTGGTTCAGAAGTCTCCAAGTGGTTGATCACCACCAGGTGTTGTTGCACGGATGCTCTCGCTAGTGAGGCGAGTGCTCTAACCAATATGCTACAGGTCTCCACATTGAATGTTACACCCAGCAGAGGCAGCAGAGTCTTGATTCATTAGACTGGGCTGCATTTGAATCCAGGTCTCAAACATGAAAGAACATCTTCAGCCAGTCCACAAGTACCAGTGCATAGTCGATCATTTCTGTGACCTATGTATATTTTTTGAGATATGTTTCACAGTAATTGGGATTGGCTTACTCATTAAATCTCTTGTGATGTTAAGTATTGGCAACTAACATTGCATTCAATCTTAAGTCTGTTCAGGAAAGAGAATTCTGTTGTAGTTTAAGATGAACAATTTGACTAACTGAGGACTTTGATCTAATGGGGATAAGATTGAATCATTGGGAACTGTGCTACAGTTTAAACGATTAGTAAAAAAAAAGTAATTAGGCCACAAGAAACATGCCACAGTTTATTAAATGAGTAACATTTGTCACATAAAACATCAGTTTCAAGTTTTAGTTAGACTCCATGGTTTTGAAACAATGTTGGATTTCGTTGAGCATATAGGCAAGGTCAGAAAGACAGATGGGTAAATTCAGTGAAATTACATGTCACAATCAAAGTGTTAAGAAAATGCTTTGTAATCACATGCCTTTATTTGTGGAGCCCCATTACAACATGAAAGTTGAGGTCCATAAAATCGCAATAAATCCAACACGAGTAATAATTCCCCATGCAGGTACAGAAAGCAGGAAATTGCCAATGGTGACTTGATGACCCAGAAGTTGCCCTTTTTTTTATTGTGCCAGGTACCCAGCAGGTGCTTTGAAGTGAGGAAGCAATTAGAAGCGAACTGTCTGGCTTTCTGTACACATTTTGGATTTTTGTTGTTAAGTAGATGTCAGGGCCAACAACCCTAGAAGCAGACCCATGTTATAACAAAATGCATTATAATGGGGTTCTACTGTACAGTATATTACATTCCTCATGAATAAAATGTGATATTTACATCTCTTGTACAATTTACTAAAGATAAATCATTTTTCACCAGATAGGTTGTGAAATTAGCAAAATCCTGAATGTTTAAATTGCATAAACATTTTATGGAGATAAAGATACATCATTCATAGTTCAGAGATTAGATTCTCATAAAATTATCAATAGATGAAGGATGGTGCTCCTCACACATCCTCCTCCCTCTACCGATTTTCTCTTTTCAGCACTACATGGAGTGAGGAATAAAACATGCTATCACTTCCCCCCACCCCCCCCCCCCCCCCGCCCCACCCCCACATTCGCACACTGATCCCGTAAATCATACGTTACTGTATACAAACCCAGAGTTAATCATTTTTCAAAGTGAGTTTTTTTCCAAAGATAACATTGTAACTGTATCCTCAGTGATGCTGATATTGCTCCACCACTGTGAAGCGCTCCGGGAATCTACCCCATGTGAAGGGTGCTACACAAATGCAAGTTGTTGTTTTACACTGTTATAACTATCACCTTAAAAAGCTAACAGATTTATATGTTTGTGTAGCCCACCCACCTCTTCCACAAACAACACAACTACCATAAATAGATCTATGATTGGGTCCTACATGCATCGCAAATCCCACATGCATTCAGTAAACATAGCAACATTCCCACAGGCACCTATGTAAAGCATCTCCACATCCAACACCAAAACTATGTCTGCAATATCTATGGAGTCCTGCAGCTCAGTGGTTAGAGCACTCGCTTTGCAAGCGAGAGACCTGAGTTCAATTCCAGGCAGGTCAGGGCGAAACCTTGGGCAAGTTTCCTTACTCCACACAGAGCCTAATAATAATCCCTCCAAAACAAAACAATAATAAATTGATCATTTTCAATCTACGACTGTTCGTGGGACGCTGCTGTGCGCAATTGGCTGCCGTTTTCGCCCACAAATATACAGTTAATTCACTTTACAATATATTCTGTGAGGCGCTTTGAGACGTCTGGAAGACGTGAAAAGCACTATATCAAATGCAAGGATTATTATTATTGTTATTATTATTATAAAGCTGCATTGGACTTTCTAGCCATAGATTGCAGCATTGGGTAGCAGGATACTGGCTTTACTCCTGATTTTCTTTTTGATGTACCAAGGTAGTAGAACAAAATGATATAGGTTTAGGGTTGCAATTGGCAATTTCAGGACAGATACCAGGAAGTATTTCATTACCCAGAGGGTAATTAACGACAGGTTAAACAAAAGCTCGGTGCTGGGAAGATGTTAGGGGTGGATTCTAGAAGAAAGATCAAATTGGCCAATGGACCATTTTCATCTGAACCAATCGTGTGATTTTGGATCCTGACAACTGAAAGTCCACTCTTACAATCTGTGAGCCTTCAATCCTTGTGATGGAGTTCAGGGGGAGGAAGTGTGGGAGGTCCACTCATATCCTCGCACCAGTTGGTGCCTGTAGTTACTGCCTGTGTTGGCCAATTTCTAATCAGCTAGTGCTAACACATGCGTAGGTTGTAATTTTCACCGCATGCTGGGAAATGCAATTAAAGCGCATACATATTTACTGATTCATTCAAAGTTAATTAGCAGTGATCAAACAATTTACATTTTTTAACATCAGTCTCTAGTGCATTAAAATCAATAGTTTCAGGGGAAATTACTATTGTTTATGGTTATCCTCCTCAGATATTGCAAATCATGATCTGAGACAAAACATGAAACAATGCTGAACTTGGTGCTGCCAAGAACAGTCTTTATTGAAAGGCAGCTTCAAATTGTGTGGGGCCAGACTTCTGAATTATCAATGCCCTCAGATATTGAACAGGGAATTCATTGTTGTAGAAATTAATACCTTTTGCCCAAATACCCACATTCATTCCAGCTTTCAAACCTATGAACCAACTGTGTGTGGGGTCTCATGCCTCTGCGGTAGCGGTGGGTTTGTAGATCACCTTCGGTCCTCTTTCTGTGTTCAACCTGTAAAAGGTCCCAATATGTTATTATTAATTGAAATGTCCGCAGGCTCAAAGTTCTGCTTGTAGAACTACTTACTCAGTCTTACATTTTAAGATTACGAAGAATTGTGGAAAATCCTTAAATTCAGACTTCATTTGGAAGCCGTTTCTTTATGAACAGCAGAAAAAAAGGGTTGCAAATTAAGCGTGAATTTAAGTCATTTCCATAACTCCTTCAAGGCTCGTCTCAAGACGCTCCTCTTTGACTGAGCCTTTGGTTGCCCTCCGACCCCTATCCTCTCTGCTCTCTACCCTCCCTGATCCTAACCCCCTGCTCGGGCCCAAATCCCTGATTGTCCAGCACCTTGGGATGTCCTCCCAATGTGAAAGGCACTATATAAATGTAATTTGTTGTTGAAACATTTGGATTTGCATTTGCTCTTTTTCACAAGAAATGCAAAATCAGCTACTGTCATTTACCATATAATGCATTAAAGAAGAGCCTCATCACAACAATAGTTTTATTGTTCAGAGATTTTTTAGCATGTTGGATACTTTACCCTAAATGGCTGTTGAAATGAGTCTATAATACTTTAAAGGGAATTGGATAAATACCAGAGGAAAACTATTTAAAGGGAAAGACTATGTGAAAAGATTAGTCTTGATAGCTCCAGTGGGCAGCTAGCTTCAGTCATGATGGGCCAAATGATTTCCTTCTGTCATGGCATTACACTTGCCAGAAATAACTGTGAGGCACTTTGGTACATTTTGATGTGATAAGGAGCTTTCAAAATCAAAGTTTTTTTTAGAATTTAGAAATTTTTTTGAATTGAATAGTAAAATCACTGAATCCTCATAGACTGATGCACATGGCAAATCCTACATATTTGACAGTGTTATGAAAGGGTAGGAATAATCCCTTTAATTGGGATTAAAAGATCTGTCAAGATCCAATAAAGTGGAGGAACAGGCTTGATGGTCTCCCCCTGTTTTCCTAAACAGTCTGACAGGATTATTGAATAGGGAAGGTGGAAAACTTCAAGTATCAAAGATCCTATTTGCCAGCTGATCAGAAGAAGAAAGCTTTGCCATGCAAAGCTTTGCTGAATATATAAATTTACCCAATTGCTATTATGCCTGAAAATTGGAAATAGAGCTTGTTGTTATGAAATCCATCTAAATGAGGAGGATACAATAGACCACAGTTCCTGAACAGCTCTTTTTGTCTGGAACTTATTTTGTGTTCACCCAAAAGTATTGTCTTTAATTATGTAGCACCACTCTTCGTATATACATTAATTACAAATTTGCGTAAATGTATGCATCACTGCATGGTAAAAGGTTCAACTTTATTTTGAAATGAATGACAGGAGTTCTAATTGTTTTAACATTACCTCTGTCTTTTTTTCTGTTTAATCACATACAGTACAAAGGCCAATGCAGTACATCCAAATAGGATCCCAAATATAATGGCCAGCAAATCACCTGTAGGAATATAACAAGCAATCAGAACTCAAGATACAGTATGCTTTAAAGTAGCAGATAGCCAGGAATGCATTAAAACGGTAGAACAAGAAGGCATAGGTTTAGAATTATAAAGGGCAATTTCAGGACAAATGCCAGGAAGTTTTTCTTTATGCAGACGGGAAAAGGTAGTAGAACACTAGACTCACTTATCCTTCAACAAGAATAATAGTAAATAATAATAATTTGGTCACTCAATCCACGACTGTTTGTGGAACACTACTGTGTGCAATTGACTGCTGCTTTTCGCTCACAAAATATACAGTCATTTCACTTTACAGTATATTCTGTGAAGAGCTTTGAGACGTCTCGAAGACGTGATAAGGCGCTATATCAAATGCAAGGATTATTATTAGTATTTAAAAAGCATCTTGATGCAGTAATGGGGGAGGGGAGATTGGGGAACAGTAGGATGGGTGTTTTTCATTGTATCAAGCTCCATTGACATTGTCTGCTTCAGACTGCCATTGGATGAGATAACACAAGTTAGATTTATAAGGGCTCAGATCCGAAACATTCAACTTTTTACTGCTTTTGATCCAACATTTGTGGTACCATGTTTTCTTTCCCTTCCCTTTTTATTGTACAAAGAAATCTAAAGCTTTGGCCCTCCCTGTTCACAAAAGGTGGTTAATATTGTGATATAGTTACCAGGGATTGTGAATGCTAACTCAGTTGAAGCACCGAATATGAAATTGGGCAGATTCCTGATTCCGCAAGTTTGGGGATCACTGGTTTGAGTTAAAAGAGAGCTGAAAATCGTTCAGTGCATTCCAAAAGGATCCTGCAGTGCAGTGGTTAGAGAACTCGCCTTGCAAGTGAGAGACCCGGGTTTGATTCTCAGCAGAGCAAAACATTGGGCAAGTTTCCTTACTCCACATGCCTGATAATAATCCCTCAAACAAATGAAATAACAATTTGGTCACTCAATCCATGACTGTTTGTGGGACACTGCTGTGTGCAATTGGCTGCTGCATTTCGCCAACAAATATACAGTCAATTCACTCTATATTATATTCTGTGAAGTGCTTTGAGACGTCTTGAAGACATGAAAAGTGCTATATCAAATGCAATTATTATGATTATTATTACTTATGTTCTTAGGACAAAACAATTTTTAATCTAATCAGAGTAACTTGATTCACTATTCCAATTTATTCCACACAAGTGTCTTGATTTATTAGAGCAGTTTTCCAGCTCATTAAGGTTTGGATAAAGTTTAGAATTATCCATCATTGGCTAATTAAGTAAAGGTTACCCCTATTCTGACAGGAAATGAAAAGTATCTTGAGATACATCTCTCAGTCAAAGGTCAGAACATAATTGTGATTCTTAGCAGTAGTATTGAGTTGAACTCATTGCAGTTGATGTTATTGTGGCCTGTGGAAACTCAGTGCACTTCCATAGGAGAGTAAAATCACATTGACTACTTACCTAACCTAAACTGGTTCCCTTCTGTAGAGTTGAAAGAAAAGAAGGAAGCAGAAGAAATGTAGTTGAAGAAATTGTATGTTATTATATAATGCAATGGTTATTATTGTACTCCATAATGCCAATGGTGAATCAGTAATAGTAATAGTAATAAACAAGCTGTTGTTTGTGAGATTGTACCTATGAAAGCAAAACACCTTTTTAGCACAACATCATTATGAGGAACAACTATGAGGAAACGCCTATAGCACAAGTGTGACGAAGGACACCGCACTTGGATTCTTAATTTGATATAACTGTTGCTACAGGCTGATACAACACCGCTCATATCCCAACATGTCCCATGTTCCTGCCTCAAAGGTTCTGGTGAAATTAGTCAACAGAGGAATATATTTGAGGGCAGTGTTGTGTGTCGTGGCCCCTTAAATATTGTAATGTAACATTTCTATAAATGTTGTCAGATTTATAGAATTCCAATTTGTTTACTAATTTTTTGAGATGTTCAAGCAGATTTATCTGAAATGCATTCTCTGGTAGAGTGGACTTGTAACAGTTTCCAATAGCTCAATAAGTAAATGAACTACATTAGATTTGCTGTCCTACTTGTATAGTCCTGCTCTCTTCCGAATCCACCTGGATCATTGGGGGCAAAACGTTCGAGTTGATTAAACCGTGAAATGTCTCCCTGAGTCCCGTGAGTCATTAGGGTAACAATTGAGACTCTGATCTCATGTTTTATATATTGAATCTTTCCAACTTGCAATTCACAGGTGAAGATCGGGATATCAGGCGGTTTTACCTCAGTGTGTAAATGATTCATCAGAACCAAAAGCAAACCCATGGCCTGAGATTTAGGGTCCAATCAAAACACACAACTTGTCTCGCTGTCCAAGTTTCATTCTGACTAACTGTAAACCTGTTCCTAACAAGGTATAGCTAATTCAATAAATACATTTGAACAAACTGTAACTGCTCAATAAAACTAACGGCAAAAAGGAAACGCCCCTCTTTAAACAATACTTCCCAGTTTCTCTACATTCCAAGCCTATCATTGTAGCTAACCATCAAACAAATCTCCCGACGTGAAAGGTGCTCTATAAATACATCTTGTTGTTGTTGTCGTAATTACCCCAAGGCAGCAGCATTTTCTCTAAAGCAACAGTATTTTCATGCTCTCACCTCCTTACCTCTCCAACATGATTCCTCCCCAACCTACTAACCACTGCCTCTGCTCGACTGGCTCTGGATGTCCCTCATACTCTCCATTCCACCATCGGTGCCTGGGCTTTCAGCCACTATGCCCCAAAACACTGGAACACTCTTCCTCTATCCTTTCGCCTTACCACTTCCTTCCCCATCTTCAGATCTTGTGTGAAGATTTTCCTCCTCAACCGTGCCTATGGTCACCTCCCCCTCTCCCTGATTCAGCGTCATGCAAATAATTGTTGTTGTGAATAAATTATTATGTATTTTATATTATTACATAATAATAATGTTACTTCCATAGAACACTTCCATTTTAAAAGGGAAGATCTTCCACAAGAAGACACACTTATCCTTACTCTTTCCCCCAGTAAATAGGATCAGAGGAAAATAATGGATCTAATCTGAGGCATTTTGCAATGGGATTCCTTAATATGTTCGATATTCTACTGTCTACTCAATTCTACTCAATATTCTACTGTCTAGAATGAAATTGTACCATAGAGGAATTCCTCCTGTGAAGTGAATTTATGATAGAAGAATGTCAAAACAAAAGAATGATGTGCTACCACTGCTTGTGATTGATTGTTGGCAACAAAAGGCAGCGTGTTATCTGAGGGGAAGGACAATCTGCTATGGGCTGGGGCACATGTTGCAAATAAACATTGCCCCTGAACATTATATCCAATTAAATGTAAAAATCATTTATCTTAATAAGCGCAATGCCTTTATTCAGATTAAGACACTGACATTTAGGTAACACCAACCACCATAATGTACATTGGCTCTTCTGACAATTGGTAGTCAATTTCACACTCTCGCCTCTCAGCCTCAATCAATCAAATAACTGCAGCAAACCCATAATCACTCTTGAAATTGTAAAATTGATGTCCCAATTTTTCATGACCAGATATGTTGGTTCACTGCCTTGAGTCAAAGTCTAACTGGGCGAGGTTTATTGCCGCAATTAACAATTGTTGTTAAGTCTCACTCTCCAGTTTCTGTGCCTCATGTGACTTCCCACTCTCTTTCGTTCATTATGACGCACCGTGCAACCTGTTCCATTACTGTAACCTCATAAACCATGAGATTCAATCCCCTTAGCCCTCCTTCATCTGTGCTGGGACTCTGCTTACCTGGCCCCAATGGGATTGTCAGTGAACTATTTAACTTTGTCAAAACTAGATTAAAGGTAAAAGAACTGCCAGTATACCAAAAGATTAACCTTTTTCAATACAGATTGTTCACCATTGGAAAGCACCATTGAGGTGTAGTTAACACCAAGCCAGATTGTTTGAAGTGAAAGTGCTAAGAGACATCTTACCTGTTCTAACACTGTCTCCATCTGATTTGGTGGAGCCGCCCTCGGGAACTGTGGAAACAAATCATAGCCCGTTATCCATGAAATTAGGTGGCGCTCTTTGGCCAGTGAGGTAGATTCCTGTGTCACCCTTGAACCTGAGTTTTAATATTAAAAATAATCTTGTAAATAATCACTTTGCTTTATGCAAATGAAGGTTATGACATAAGTAAGGGTTCAGTATATAACGTCAGCCATTATCATTTATTTACTCATCATCTTGTGGGTGGTTGGCTGAAACAGGATTCAGCTTGTCCAAGGCAAAATAATAGCTGCAAACAAAGAGAGTATGGAACATGCATACTAACCTTCTGTGACCCAACATGTTGGTACAATATCAATTTCCCTCAGTTTTGTGGCCTGCTCCATAGAAGCATTAGAATACAAAAAGGCTTATCTAATATAATAATAATAACAATAACTTGCATTTATATAGTGCTTTCCAAGCAGGGTAGCATCTCAGAGCGCTTCACAGTGGTGAAGCTTAACTCCAAGCCGGGGCGAAAGGTGGCCGTAAGCACGGTCGAAGAGGAAGGTTTTCAGGTGGGACTTGAAAAAGGGGAGATTGGGAGCAAGGCGAAGGGATTGAGGGAAAGTGTTCCAGAGTTTTGGGCCGTGGTGGCTGAAAGCGTTGGTGGAGAGGAGGGTGCGAGCGACGAGCAGGAGGCTGGTGCCAGTCGAGTGGAGCTGCAGGTGGTGAAATGGGGAGTGAGGAGGTCGGAGAGGTAGGGAGGCACCAGGGAGTGAATGGATTTGAACACGAGAGTGAAGATCTTGGTTGATCCTTTCGGTAATGGGGAGCCAGTAGAGCCTGGCCAGAACTGGTGAGATGTGGCTACAGAGTTTGGTCCGGTAATAATCCTTGCATTTTATATGGAGCCTTATTGTGTCGTTGAGAAGTCTCAAAGCACTTCACAGAATATACTGTAAAGTGGATTGGCTGTGTAATTTTGTGAGTGAAATGCAGCAGTCAGTTGCACACAACATTGTCCCGCAAACAGCCATGAAGTGAGTGAACAATCGGGAGGACGTCCCAGTGATTATAATTTGTACATTTATATTTATCATTATAAAAGACTTTTATAAAACACTAGTTAGTCCTCAGCTAGAGACTGTGTTCAGTTCTGGGCACCAAGCTTTAGGAAGGATGTCAAGGCAAAGGAGATTTACCAGGATGGTACCAGGAATGAGGGACTTCAGTTATCAGCAGAGGCTAGAGAAGCTGGGATTATTCTCTTTGGAGCAGAGAAGGTTAAGAGGAGACTTAATAGAAGTTTTCAAAATTATGAGGGGATTCGATAGTATGAACAAGGAGAAACTATTTCCACTGGTGGGTGGGTTGGTAGCCTGAGGACACAGACTTAAAATAGTTGTTAAAAAAAAAGAGGGGAGGTGAGGAGAAATGTTTTCACACAGCGAGTTGTTCGGATCTGGAATGTATTGCCTGAAAGGATGGTGGAAGCTGATTCGATAACAACTTTTAAGCGAGAAGCAGATAATTATTTGGGGAGGACAAGTTTGCAGGGATATGGGGAGAGAGCGCGGGAGTGGGAATAAATTGGTTAGCTCTTTTCAAAGAGCCGGCATAGACATGATGGGCCAAATGGCCTCATTTTATGTTGTATAATTCTATGATTCTATGATTATAAAGATGCCAAAGATAAAATCAAACCTTTCAAAGATAAGTAAAAATCTTAGACAAAAAAAAGGCCTATTAAATGAAACTGAAGATCAAAGAACAGTGCAGCTGCATTTCAACGCTGAACAGACTGCAACAGGTCACCAATGAGTTGCCCACTCAAAGAACAGCACAGCCAAAAGAAGTCCACCCACAGGAGTCCTCCCAGATAAATATAGATAAAGATGAAATGAGGCTTATTCCCTGCTGGGCTCTACTCTTGTTTTGTTCAATAGATTTTTAAAAACTAAAGGGATATGGCGGGTAAATGGAATTAGGTTAGAAGATCAGCCATGATCTTATTAAATGGCAGGGCAGGCTCAAGGGGCAGAATGGGCTACTCCTGCTCCTATTTCTTATGTCTGTCTGTCTGTCTGTCTGTCAATCTACAATCCATCTAATAATAATAATCCTTGCATTTGATACAGTGAATTGAATTGACTGCATATTTGTGGGTGAAACGCGGAAGCTAATTGTGCACAGCAGTGTCCCACAAACGGTCGTGGATTGAAGTGACCAATTTATTATTGCAACATCATAACCGCAACGGATACAGCTAGTTTAACAATAAACGATTTGTAATATATTTCACATCATTTTTATTTTGCCATAAAATGGTTCTGTTGTTTATTCTTTATTTATTACAACTAGTAATCTTTAAAAAAATCTAGACGAGTAGACTTTAAAAAATATCTAGATTCGTAAATGGCAAACCTTGAAGGTGAATAGCTCAGTGTAAATAGCATTGTAAAACTGCGCTCACAATCTCAGAATGAAAGTTGTAAAATCATATATAGATTATTTACAAGGGCATATCTTGTGCAACACTGAGGAGTAACACTGCACACTCTTTCCTAGCTCAAGAATAGTGCCCCTGAAAGAATGTTGCACTTCTTTCTGATTATTCCTGGGAAATGTAAAATTTCCTGTAGCTTGTTTTCACATTGAAGGTGGTATATGCAGTATTATTTTCCAGGATCCTTTCTGAGTTTTACCGCTGTAATTCAATTACACTCAATGCATCCTTATTTCTCGCCAATAGTGCATGTTTATAAGTTAATCTGCTCCTTCAAAGCTAAGGAAGCCAAGCACAAAAGTTAGGACATGTTGAAAATTCCCTCCTTCCATTTTACAAATGAACATGACTTAGGATGGTATTCAGAGCATTGGTGCCGACCTTTGGATGAGACGTTAAACCGAGGTCCTGTCTGCCTGTACTCTTGGACGTTAAAGATAAAAGAGAAGGGAGTTTCTCCCAGTGTCGTGATTACAATCCCCCAAATAAAAAACTGTTTGTGGACACTGCTGTGTGCAAAATGGCTGCCACGTTCACCCATAAAGTACACAGTCAATCCACTTTACAGTATATCCTGTGAAGTGCTTTGATATGTCTCGATGACATGATAAGGTGCTATATCAAATGCAAAGGTTATTATTATTTTTACCTTCCAGCTACTGATCATATGCAGCAACTGTTGTGGTCTAGCACGGGGCAGGCTGGCTCTTCCACCAAGGACTGGATAGTGGCTATAAATCCATCACCTGATTCTGAATCAGCACTGGCTGAAATCAAGTACACAGCCAATAAGAAATAGATTGAAGTGTGCAATAGGTAGTACCGTACTAGTCTGTGCCATCTCAGCTAAATATCAGCCAACTTTGCTCACAAACCTTTTTTCGGCACCACTCCTGCTATTTCAGGAAAATACATTCCTCAACATTTTTTCATGTGGGTGATGGGTTAGTTGGCAAGCAGTAGAACTCTATCCCACCAGTGCTACAAATAATAAAGTAATAAAAAAAAGACTAAATAAATAGAATCGCACCTAGACAGTACAAATACACAGTCACTACACTGGACAGAATTGATCAGTGAAGTGACTTTGAGATGTTTGCAAGTTATAGGGTCACTACAAAATGCAAGGAAGCTAAATTCTATTCAAGATTATCGGTACATCTATCTTGATTCCAATCCCCAGCTCCGGCCAAACCCTTAAATGTCTAGCACCTTGGGACGTCCTTCTGAAGTGAAAGCCCTGTGTAAATGTAATTTTGTTGTTGTACATATTCTGACTGAAACATGTGGGAGGATTGATAACCAGATTATATGGGGGAGAAATTCCTTTCATTTTGAATACTATGTGGGATCTTTAACCTTAGAACAAGCAGCAATAAGCTCTGTTTAACGATTCATCTGAAGAACAGCACCACCGATAATCCACAAGTATTGCACTGGAGAATTAGCCTAAACTATGAGCTCAAGTCCTAAACTCATTACTTTATGACCCAGAGGTATGAGTGCTACCAACTGACTCAGTGTAAAAGATGCAAAAATAAATGAGAATTGAGAGGTAAAAATATTTAAAATGTAAATACATAAAATAACTTTTTTTTAAAAAAGGCAAACATAATCTTATTCAGCATCTGTTCAGCCTTTCATACCAAAGGCGCTTTACAACAACAACAACAAAATTACATTTATAGAGCGCCTTTCATGTCGGGAGGACATCCCAAAGCGCTGAACAGTCAGGTGTCGGGGCCCGAGCATGGGGGAGGGATGGTGTAGGGATGAGGGAAGGCAGAGAGGTGGGAGGGAGACCAAAGGCACGGTCGAAGAGAAGGATATTGAAACCGGCCTTGAAGGATGCGAGGGCAGAAGTGAGGCGAAGGGATCGTGGGTTGGAGTTCCAGAGTGTGGGGGCAGAGAGGCTGAAAGCCCGGCCACCGATGGTAGGGAGGGTTGGGCGGGAAACATGGAGCAGGCCGGAGCCCGATGAACGGAGGGAGTGGGCAGGTTGGTAGGGAGACAGCAGGTCAGAGAGGTAGGAGGGGGCAAGGCCATGGATGCCCTTAAAGGTGAGGACAAGGATCTTGAACTCGATCCTCTGGGGATGGGGAGCCAGTGGAGTCAGGCGAGGATGGGAAGGGAAGAGTTGGGAAGGCCGATGAGAAGGGAGTTCCTGTAATCAAGCCTTGAGAAACTCGTGTGAAACCATTGGTGAGGGTTCACTTTATTAACTCTCTCAGCAATCTGGCATGGAATTATTATTCATAGGAGAGTGACTGCAATCATTGACGCTAACTTTTGGGTGTGGTGTTGCAAAGTTTTGAAAGGCTAAAGATTGCAAAAGTATCTTGCTAGATTTACAGGTTATGATCTTATCTGTTATACAGATAGATCACTGTGAATCGAGCATTAGTTGTAGCAGAATGGATCCACAGCTGTTTGAGATGTAATGGACACAGTTTTCTCCCTCTGTACAAAAAGTATTTGTAAGTTTGAACTAAAAAATAATACTAATCCTTGCATTTGATATAGCGCCTTATCACATTCTGTGAAATGCTTTGACATCTCAAAGCATTTCACAGAATACACTGTAAAGTGAATTAACTGTTTTCAAATCCCTTCATTCCCTCGCACCTCCCTACTTATCCAACCGGCTTACCCTCCACTCCACCATCCGCTGCCTCTGCTCAGCTGGCTCCGGCCTCCTATTCTTCCCCATCGGTGGCCGTGCCTTCAGCCCCTTTGCCCTGAAACTCTGGAACTCTTTCCCTCAATCCCTCCGCCCTGCACCCTCCCTCTCCACTTTCAAATCCTGCCTGAAGACGTTCCTTTTTGATCGTGCTTATGGTCACCTCACTCTCCTCCTGGCTCATTGTCAGACTCTGTCACTGTGAAGCATTCCCGGACCCTACACCACGTGAAGAGCACTATATAAATGCAAGTTGTTGTTGTTATATAAGGTAAAATTCAATGAACTCCCCAGCTCAGCAAATACATTCATTATATACGGTACTATAATGTAATTATGAAGGCAGTGTCACCACTGAGATATCTTTAATTGCCTTAACATCCAAGAGCTGAAAATAAGGACATAAAAACTGCATCACAGAGCTTATCTTCCTTCATTTTAGCTTTCATTTTTTCGAGGTGTTGATTTTAAACTCAAAGGCATTGAATTGGATGGGAAGAAGATTAGGCTTCAAATCTGACAAGTAAAATGATGTGTTACATACAAGTTTGGTTACTCTGTTTCCGTGGCATTGTTGTGCACAATTGACTGCTGCATTTCGCCCACAAAATACACAAGTCAATTCACTTTACAATATATTCCGTAAAGCGCTTTGAGAAAGTGCTGGAGTCCTGTATCTCAGTGATTAGAGCATTCGCCTGGCAAGCAAGAGGCCTGGGTTTCATTCCCATAGGGTGAAATATTGGGTAAGTTTCCGTACTCTCTGTTTCTGTTTGCCTAGAAGTTAACAACCTGGTTGTTAGTTGATTGGCGAATCACTTTTCTGAGGGTAATAATTCCTTCAAAAAAAATAATAAGTTGGTCACTCAATCCAGGCCTTTTTGTGGGACACTGCTGAGTGCAATCGGCTGCTGTGTTTTGCTCACAAAATTTACAGTCAATTCATTTTACCGTATACTCTGTGAAGCACTTTGAGACGTCTGGACTACATGATAAGGTGCTATATCAAATGCAAGGGTTATTATTATAAAAGGAGAGGTTCAGAAAAAATTTGAGAGCATTGAAGATTTATAGAGTATTTCATTACATCGAGGTTCGACTATGCAAACTCATTGGAGTGGGGGAAGGGACTTTTTTTGAGACTTAGACCATTATCTGACCATTTGTTTCAATATTTGAGATTTGGGCAGAATTGTGAAAAATTCTCAAATTTCACCCACAAAATTTAAAATCAATTCACTTTCTAGTATATTCTATGAAGCGCTTTGAGACCCCTCGAAGATGTGATAAGGCACTATACCAAATGCAAGGATTATTATTATAAATTCAATTTATCATAATTTCAGGCATCTGAATCCAAAACTTAGTGAGATGAATATGTACAGTATTTGCTGAGGAATAACAGCCTCTGGGTTAAGTTAAAAAGGAAGAATTAAGGCTGTGAAAAACTAAAATAGAAATCCTTTCCTGTTTTTAGTTTCCACCATGTGATTCATTTCAAAATATTTTTGAAGGGGAACTAAGCTGCGGTTGTTTATTGCAGTGTTGCAACTTTCTGGGACTATAATAGTAATAATCCTTGCATTTGATATAGCCCATTATCACGTCTTCGAGACGTCTCAAAGAGCTTCACAGATTATACTGTAAAGTGAATTGACTGTATATTTTGTGGGTGAAACACAGCAGTCAATTACACAAAGCAGTGTCCCACAAACAGTCGTGGATTGAGTGACCAAATTATTATTATTTTTTGAAGGGATTATAATCCTCGGAAAGTGATCTGCCAATCGATTAACAACCGAGTTCCTACTTACTGTTAGGTAAACAGAGGGGTGTGGAGTAAGGAAACTTGCCCAAGGTTTTACCCTGTCTGGGTTTTGGACTTAGCTCCTCTCTCTTGCGAGGCGAGTGCTTTAATCAATATTTTACAGGACTCCACAAGTCGATACTAATGCTCCATGTTGTTTCCCTTTCTTTTCAAATTCATCATGACTTGTAGGTTCACTTGGTTTCACCAACAAAGGAAATTCATCACATCTTTAAATTTCGAATGCATCTTTGAGTTATTGATACAGGCAGAAAGGAGCACATTAAGTCTAACTCTTTTTACGTATTGACTAGTTTCTTTACCTTTTAAGCTATATACAGTGTTTGCAGTTTCTCTGCTCTGAGAACACCTGGTGAGTTTCACACGATCAGAACTGAAACTCAAATATGAGGAGTGAGGATTTGAGTTTGTAATCATTAGCCAGCAATTTGCATACCTTCTCTGTGTAACAACCCCTCTGGGAAGGAAACAAACACAGGCCTTCTGTTAAGGGGCTGAACGTCTCTGTAGTTACAGGACAATATCTGATTGTCGCTGGTCCTTAAAGAGCTCTTCAGCCTGTGCAACTGAAGGGAAAAGGAAAGGAATGTCAGTAACTGATCTCAAAGCTTCGCAGAAATTACTGTAAATCAACCAAAAAGTTAAATACTGATAGAAAAATCCTGGTGTTAAAATTTTCGAGAGACCAATAGAGTGACTTGCTTCTTCCAAGTCTTTCTCCTCTGATTAAGACTCCTTATATTAGACTAACCACAAAACCAACAGTGGGGTTGAGCAAATGGACAGAGACAGACTGGTAAAATGGGCAGATACGTGGCAGATGAAGTTTAATGTGGAGAAATGCGAAGTGATACATTTTGGGAGGAAGAATGCGGAGAGGCAATATAAGTTGGATAGTACAATCTTAAAGGGGGAGAAGCAACAGACAGTCTGGGGGTTCATATAAGTAAATCTTTGAAGGTGTCAGGACAGGTAGATAAAGCTGGTAAAAAAGCATATGGGATACTAGGCTTTATAAATAGGGGCATAGAATACAAAAGTCAGGAAGTTATGATGAACCTTTATAAAACACTGGTGAGGCCTCAGCGAGAGACTGTGTTCAGTTCTGGGCACCACACTTTAGGAAGGATATCAAGGCATTGGAGAGGATGCAAAGGAGATTTACCAGAATGGTACCAGGAATGAGGGACTTCAGTTATCAGGAGAGGCTAGAGAAGCTAGGATTATTCTCCTTGGAGCAGAGTTGTTTAAGAGGAGACTTAAAAGAAGTTTTCTAAATTACGAGAGAATTTGATGGGGTGAACAAGGAGAAACTATTTCCACTGGCAGGTGGGTCGGTAACCCGAGGAGACCGATTTAACATAGTTGTTAAAAGAAACAGAGGGGAGGTGAGGAGAAGTTTCTTCACACAGCGAGTTGTTCGGATCTGGAATGCATTGCCTGAAAGGGGGGTGGAAGCTGATTCGATAACAACTTTTAAGAGAGAAGTAGATAATTATTTGGGGAGAACAAGTTTGCAGGCCTTTGGAGAGAGAGGGAGAGTGGGATTGATTTGGAAGCTCTTTTCAAAGAGCTGGCACAGACATGATGGGCCGAATGGCCTCCTTCTGTGCTGTATAATTCTATGTTTCTGTGATTCTAGGAGATTGACAATGAAAAAAGTACCTTAACAACAACAACAACAATAGGATAAACAGTGCATCCAGTGCAGCATTGTCCAACCAGTGACCACTGGCTACCTGTGACCAGATGTGGCCACTTTCACATCAACGAATCAACTTGCGTTTTGACTTGTGTGACTGAAATGGATCTTCTGTCGCTTTATCATGTCAAAACATCTCAAACGCTAGCATAGATGTGGCCAATGGCCACTGGGTTAGACAGTGCTACTCCGGTGCAAAACCCCATGTAAGTTACACTGACTCATGAAACTAGTCTCCAAATTGATTAGAATGAAATTGCTGCTCTCATTGCTCTCACTGATAGGGTCCTAAAGGATTAGGACAGTCTCAGTTGAGGTTGTGTTTGACATGCAGAGGGGGCTTATCTTTCCACTTTCCATTGATGAGCCAACCATCAACAGTGCTGTGGACAAAATTGGCTCTCTGATATGGATCACTGAATACATCTCAAAGAGTTGGTCAAGCTCCTTTCTCCATGCCTGTGATGGAGGAGTCAACTCAATCATTGGGAGACCCCATTACTTTTCCCTGAAGGAGGATAGCACCGTAATTCCATATTGGGAGGTAAATTCCATTTGCACATTAATTGGATACATACCTGCAATTGGGAAATTTGGATTGTGTCTTTGAATATAGTCCAGTTAACAGTCTGATCGCAGGGAGGAGTGGTCAGTGACCCGCTGTATCGGAAATAGTGGCCCAATTGACGGGGCAACAAGTTCTTGATATCAAAGCCAGGGATGGATACTTTGCTACCTAAAATGCAACCACATTCATACCATGGGTGTCATACAATCGGCTGAAGAAAAGTTTAAATATCAAAAAACTGTCTGTACAAGTCACAAACGCATCAGACTTAGATTCATATAAATAAAAAATCAAGAATAATAATCCTTGCAATTGGTATACCCCCTTTCACGTCGGGAGGATGTCTCAAGGTATTTCATAGGATTTATTGTGAAGTGTTTTCTGACTGCAGTTTGTGGACAAATGCAGCAGTCAATTTAACATAGCGATGTCCCACAATCAGCCATGGAGTGAGCGACCAATTTTATTTGGAGGATTTGTCGACTGGGAGAGAGAAACTCCCTCTTTTTTCGAATAGAGCCATGGGATCTATAAAGTCCACTGAACAGCCAAATGGATTTATTTTAATACAGAACTTAATGTAATTTTGAAGAGGGGAGGGGAAATCAAAAATAAGATGATTGGGATAAAATTTGCAGAATTTCTTAAAGCGCTCCTTAAATTCTCGCTGATTGCAAATTTTACCCCAATAGTCCTGCGATGTATCTTCCGTATTTATTATAAGAAGGAAACTTGTTACAAGTCTAAAAGTTGAGTCTGTTCAGGCACCCCACAGTGTTACACAGTGTGTGTCAGGTTACTCCTGACTGAGGAGTCTCATTATAATAAACCAGTTTGCATAGGCCACACCTTTATGTGCAGTTACATTCCTGGCAAATACAGCCAATGCTTTATAGACAGATAAGATGTTGAAGGTTGAAGTGGGAAAGGCAGCTGTTGACACTTGAACACCCATCTGCCCTACCCCAGTATTATGAAAGTTCTTTTTCCTTTGTGGTCAGTGCGGGTGAAACTTAGGCAAGTTTCCTTACTCCACACCCTGTTTATTTAGCAGTAAGTAGGAACACAGTCGTTAGTCGATTGGTGGTAATAATCCCTCAGTTTCTTTTAAAAAATTGATCACTCAATCCACGATTGTTTGTGGGACATTCCTGTGTGCAATTGGCTGCCGCATTTCGTCCACAAAATACACAGTCAATCGATACAATATATTCTGTGAAGCGCTATTTGATATAGTGCCTTATCAACGACGTGATAAAGTGTTATCTCAAATGTAAGGATTATTATTATTATTACAGAAAGATTGAGGATAGAGACAGAGAAAAGATGGAAATAGACACAGAGATTGCATGACAAGGTACCCCCCACAGGCACGGAGGCACGAATTGAGTAAATCTAGACCTAGGTGGAACTTCTCCACAGATGTTGAGGAGGGTGTCTGGATAGGTTCACTATGTATTGGCTCCATTACCTCAACTGCAAAGGGGTCAAGAAAAACTAATGAAACAGTGAAGAGCTTTTGGTGTGTGATATGGCAGGCTGCGAAAGAAAACACTTACCTTCCTCTGTAATATCTTCAAGCTTTTTAAAAATGTGATTGTAATGTTCGTTCTCCTGTGGTCCAACCTGCAACACATATAAACAACTGTACTGCTTGAAACAACAACAACAACAACAACAACAAGATTCCATTTATAAAGCGCCTTTCACGTCAGGAGGACGTCCCAAGGCACTGCACAGTTGGGTCAGGACCCGAGCAGGGGGAAATGGTCAGGGTGAGGGGAGGGAAGGGAGGGAGCGAGGAGGGGGAAATGGTCAGGGTGAGGGGAGGGAAGGGAGGGAGCGAGCGAGGAGGGGGAAGAGAGTCGAGAGGGGAGCTGAAGGCTCGGTCAAAGAGAAAGGTTTTGAGACCGGCCTTGAAGGAGGAGAGGGAGGGAGCAAGGCGAAGGCACTGGGGGATAGAGTTCCAGAGCCTGGGGGCTGAGAGGCTGAAGGCCCGACCACCGATGGTAGGGCGGTTGGGGCGGGGGACGTGGAGCAGACCGGAGCCGGAGGAACGGAGGGTACGGGCAGGTAAGTAGAGGGATAGTAGGTTGGAGAGGTAGGAGGGAGCAAGGCCGTGGATGGCCTTATAGGTGAGGATGAGGATCTTGAAATCAATCCTCTGGGGGATGGGGAGCCAGTGGAGGCGAGTGAGGGTGGGAGTGATGTGGTCCCGAAGCCTGGTGCGGGACAGTACACGAGCTGCAGAGTTCTGAATGACCTGCAGCTTGTGGAGGGAGGTGCCGGGAAGGCCGGCGAGGAGAAGGTTTCCATAGTCCAGCCTTGAGGTGATAAAGGCGTGAACCAGGGTTTCAGCAGCGTGAGGGGTGAGGTAGTGCCGTAGTCTGGCGATGTTCCGGAGGTGATGGAAAGCGGTGCCAGTTGTGGTGCGGATGTGAGGGAGAAAGGACAGCTCAGGGTCGAACAAAACGCCGAGGTTCCTGATTGGCTTTGAGAGGTGGAGAGTGCAGCCTTGGATGCTGATGGTGTCAGCGCCTGAGGTGCGGAGGCGCTGACGTGAGCCAATCAGGAGGGCCTCGGTTTTTCGCACGTTGAGCTGAAGAAAGTTGTCTCTCGTCCAAGACTCGATGTCGGACAGGCAGCTGTCAGGACATCGGTGGTCGTGGAGTTGAGAATAGAGGAGGAAAGGTAGAGTTGGGTGTCATCCACATACATGTGGAAGTTAACTCCATGTCTGCGGATGATGTCACCAAGGGGGAGCATATAGAGAGTGAAGAGGAGGGGCCCGAGGACAGAGCCCTGAGGGACACCACATGAGACAGTGCGGGGGGTGGAGGAGAAGCCATTTGTGGAGACAAAGTGAAGACGGTGAGAAAGGTACGACCTAAACCACTCAAGGACAGTGCCTTGAAGGTTGAGGTGGGAGGACAAGCGGTGGAGTAGGATAGCGTGGTCGACCGTATCGAATGCTGCCGATAGGTCGAGGAGGACGAGGAGGCAGAGGGAGCCCTGGTCACAGATGGTCAGGATATCATTGGTGACCTTGACCAGGGCAGTTTCTGTGCTATGGGCAGCACGGAAACCTGACTGAAGGGGTTCGAAGAGTGAATGGGTGGAAAGGAAAGAGCGCAGTTGGGAGGCGACAACTCTTTCCAGGACCTTGGAGAGAAAGGGGAGGTTGGAGATGGGCCTCCAACTCCTGGCTACAAACAGAAAACACACCAATTCCAGTCTATGATGCGCCAGAGCCTTTAAATAATTGAGACATGTCAATGAAGGGATTATACCCCTTTAAATTAGATCATGATCCATAGTGAAGTTGTGCATTAATTGAGGACTCTGTCTTCCTGTGTACAATGGTTGTGACAGATCTTTCCTCTCTTGTTCTTCCCAAGCTCTATTCTCTTCCTCCTCCCTGCATCTCCACCTTGTTACATTCGCAACTCACTGTGCCTCCTCTCCTCAGACTTCTCTTCCCTGCTCTCCTCACTCAACCTCTCCTTACACATAAACTCCCCCACTCACAGTCACGGCCACCCACTCGATTTGGTGATCACCCGGGGCCTCAGTGTCTTGGATGTCACTATTACCGACAAGGCCATCTCTGACCACCACTTCATCTCCTTCACCACCTCCACCCCCCTCCCCACCTCCACCAGACCCACCACCATCTTCTACCGCCCTTGGAAGAAGTTACCCCCACAATCCCTAACCGATGCCTTGGAGTCCTCTTAACTCCTCTCCCTCTGGCCTTCAACCCTCACCGACCCCTCTTCTCCTCTCTCCCTCCTCAACAATACCCTCTCCTCCACACTCGATACTCTTGCCCCCATCACTTCCCGCACTGTCTCATACTCCCGCTCCTCCCCCTGGTACACCACCCACCTCCGCTCACTGAAAAGCCAGGTGCGGGCCGCTGAACGCACCTGTGTCAAATCTGGCCTAACGGTCCACCGACAAATCTGGCTGGACCTCCTCAAAATTTACCGCTCCACTCTAGCCTCGGCCAAGTCGTCCTTCTACTCCAGGATAATCCTGGAGGCGAAGAACAACCCCAGGCTACTGTTTTCCACCACAACCCGACTCCTCCATCCCCCCCACCACCCCGCGCAGATCATCTCCTCCAACCTTCACTGCGAGGAGATGCTGGATTTCCTTGAATCCAAGATCAAGGGAATCCGCTCCGCGGTCACTTCCCCTCCAACATCCACCAACCCCCCACCTCCTCACTCCCACACTCCGACTGCTACCCATCCTCCCCTACTCACTTTTGTACCCGTTTCCCCACCCTCTGTCACCAAACTCATCCTATCCCTAAAACCAACCACCTGCTCCCTTGACCCCATCCCCACTCCACTCCTTATCTCCCAGCTCCACTTTCTTGCCCCACATATCACCGACATCGTCAACCTGTCCCTCTCCTCTGGCTCTGTCCCCATTCCCTTAAAAACTGCCACCATCACGCCCACCCTGAAAAAACCCTCCCTTGATGCGTCGCAGCTATCAAGCTACCGGCCCATCTCCAACCTCCCCTTTCTCTCCAAGGTCCTGGAAAGAGTTGTCGCCTCCCAACTGCGCTCTTTCCTTTCCACCCATTCACTTTTCGAACCCCTTCAGTCAGGTTTCCGTGCTGCCCATAGCACAGAAACTGCCCTGGTCAAGGTCACCAATGATATCCTGACCATCTGTGACCAGGGCTCCCTCTGCCTCCTCGTCCTCCTCGACCTATCGGCAGCATTCGATACGGTCGACCACGCTATCCTACTCCACCGCTTGTCCTCCCACCTCAACCTTCAAGGCACTGTCCTTGAGTGGTTTAGGTCGTACCTTTCTCACCGTCTTCACTTTGTCTCCACAAATGGCTTCTCCTCCACCCCCCGCACTGTCTCATGTGGTGTCCCTCAGGGCTCTGTCCTCGGTCCCCTCCTCTTCACCCTCTATATGCTCCCCCTTGGTGACATCATCCGCAGACATCATCCACATGTATGCGGATGACACCCAACTCTACCTTTCCTCCTCTACTCTCAACTCCACGACCACCGATGTCCGATGTCGAGTCTTGGACGAGAGACAACTTTCTTCAGCTCAACGTGCGAAAAACCGAGGCCCTCCTGATTGGCTCACGTCAGCGCCTCCGCACCTCAGGCGCTGACACCATCAGCATCCAAGGCTGCACTCTCCACCTCTCAAAGCCAGTCAGGAACCTCGGCGTTTTGTTCGACCCTGAGCTGTCCTTTCTCCCTCACATCCGCACCACAACTGGCACCGCCTTCCATCACCTCCGGAACATCGCCAGACTACGGCACTACCTCACCCCTCACGCTGCTGAAACCCTGGTCCACGCCTTTGTCACCTCAAGGCTGGACTATGGGAACTCTCTCCTCGCCGGCCTTCCCGCCACCTCCCTCCACAAGCTGCAGGTCATTCAGAACTCTGCAGCTCGTGTACTGTCCCGCACCAGGCTTCGGGACCACATCACTCCCACCCTCGCTCGCCTCCACTGGCTCCCCATCCCCCAGAGGATTGATTTCAAGATCCTCATCCTCACCTACAAGGCCATCCACGGCCTTGCTCCCTCCTACCTCTCCAACCTACTATCCCCCTACCTACCTGCCCGTACCCTCCGTTCCTCTGGCTCCGGTCTGCTCCACGTCCCCCGCCCCAACCGCCCTACCATCGGTGGTCGGGCCTTCAGCCTCTCAGCCCCCAGGCTCTGGAACTCCATCCCCCAGTGCCTTCGCCTTGCTCCCTCCCTCTCCTCCTTCAAGGCCGGTCTCAAAACCTTTCTCTTTGACCGAGCCTTCAGCTCCCCTCTCGACTCTCTTCCCCTCCTCGCTCCCTCTCTTCCCTCCCCTCACCCTGACCATTTCCCCCTCCTCGCTCCCTCCCTTCCCTCCCCTCACCCTGACCATTTCCCCCCTGCTCGGGTCCTGACCCAACTGTGCAGCGCCTTGGGACGTCCTCCTGACGTGAAAGGCGCTTTATAAATGGAATCTTGTTGTTGTTGTTGTTGTTATAGTTTATCACTTCTTTTAGACGTCTCAAAGCGCTTCACAGAATACACTGTAAAGTGAATTGACTGTATATTTTGTGGGAGAAAAGTGGCAGCCAATTGCACACAGCAGCGTCCCACAAGCAGTTGTGGATTGAGTAACCAAATTTGTTTTATTTATGGATTTAGCAGGTCACAGAGGTAGGGAGAAGCAAGGCCGTGAAGGGCTTTGAAGACAAGGACGAGGATTTTGAATTCCGACAGAGAGGAAATTGAACAAGCAATGTGTGTGAGCGACTGAGACATAATGAGAAGCAAAAAGCATCAATGTATTTAAGAGGAACTTGTTGTTTACATCAATGAGAAGGTAATACAGGGGTTTATGAGGGGTGGAGCCTCATGTGGAGTATAAACACTGGCATTGATTAGTTGGGCCAAATGGCTTGTTACGAACACACACAGTGAGAGAGAGACAGACCGACAGATAGACAGACTCAGGGAAGGAGTGAGGAACACAGACTGAGATACAGATAGAGGGAGAAACACAGGCAGACGAGGAATGAGAGAGTGTCTGCGATAGAGATATAGACACCCACAAACATTGAAATATACCCCCAGCACTGATTGGAATGTCAGTTTAAATATTGTGATTCTGAGTCTCAACGTGGGGCTTGAACCCACAACCTTCTGACTCAGACACGAGAGAGCTAACACTGCATCAGGCAAGGTTACAGTGCAGTCAAACACTGGGACACGATGAGTGTCAGACGCCGCTCACCTCTCCTGTCCTCTCCATTTCGCTCGACAGAAACCTCCCACTTATCATGGTGTGAAGGAGATGGGAGATTGAAGACGGGGGTGACATTACCAGACAGTATGCAGTGCCCACCACCACCACAGGCACACAGATACACTGTCTCATGCCACCCACCACCCCCTACACTCTGTACATACACACACATGTGCGCATGTATATATATGCACTTTGCTTTTGTCCTGATTCTGCTTGAACAGGAAACTTTGATGCCTCCTCCCACATCGATACCAACTTAACAGAAACGGAAACCAGCAGAGGAATGGCAGATGAATCCTCGCAAACAGCCATGAAGTGAACGACATTTCAAAGGGTCACAAAGCATTTGACTCCCAATCCTCCTCGCACTTGGGCTAATCTGTGTTTGCAGGCACTTTTACGCATTCCCGATTCACTGCTGTGTACTGAATATAATAACCGTTGTATTTTAGATGCCAGCCTGGCTCAGTCGGTATCACTGCTATCTCTGAGTCTGGTTTTGTGGGTTCAAATCCCCACTCCAGTGACTTTGAACTCATAGTTTAATACGGTGCTGGAGTTGTGGAGTCACCATCCTTCAGACGACATGTTAAACCAAGGCCGGTCTGCCTGTTCAGGTGAATGTTAAGATGCCGTAGTCCTATTTGAAAAATATGGTGTTGAAATGTTACCTCAAAAAATGCCCCCAGAACAGCTAGCCCATCATCCTTGTGCATTGCCTCTTGCAGACTTCCGTATTTAGCAGCGAAATGGACAAAGTGGATCTGGAAAATTGAAAATTACACGTTATAATATAATAATAAATTACAAGTTCTAATAATAATAATCCTTGCATTTAATAGAGCACCCTATCATTCCGTTAACAACCACAACAACAACTTGGATATATATATATATAGCGCCCACCACTCCGGACCTGCGTCTCAGAGCGTTTCACAGTGACAGATCCCGGGGCCGACCCAGGGGGAGGGGGAGAAAGGTGACCAACGGTGCAGTCGAAAAGAAAGGTCTTCAGCAGAGACTGGAAAATAGGAAGGGAGGGAGCGAGACGAAGGGAGTGAGGAAGGGAGTTCCAGAGCCTCGGGGCGTAGTGGCTAAACAACAACAACAACAACTTGGATTTATAAAACGCCCTCCACACCGGACGGCGTCTCAGAGCTCTTTACAGTTTAGGTTCCCGGGACCGAGCCAGGGGGAGGGGGGGGAAGGTGACCAAAGCCGCGGTCAAAAAGAAAGGTCTGAAGGCACGCCCACCCAGGGTGGAGAGGAGGACTCGGGGGACAAGGAGGAGGCCAGACCCGGAGGAACAAAGGCAATGGGCACTGTTTTGAGGAGAGAGGTCAGAGAGCTAGGGGGCTGCAGAGGAGTGGAGGGATTTGAAGACAAGGGTGAGGCTTTCGGAGAGAGATATTGGTGAATGCAGGCAATGCATCGGAGGTGGAAGAAAGCAGTTCTGGTGAGGAACCGTAAGTGGGGGAGGAAGGATAATTGGGGGTCGAACCTGACGCCCAGGTTGCGTACGGGTTCGGAGAGTTTTAGGGGCAGGTCAGGTAGGTGGAGGAGGTGAGAACCTTGAGATTTTAGACGTTGACGAGAGCCAAAGAGTATGTCGTTGTCAACGTTCAGCTGAAGGAAATTCACGCTCATCCAGCTCCTGAGATCTGATAAGCAGGCTGACAGAACATCAGGGGACTGGGGGTCGCAAAGAGAGGTGGAAAAATAGAGGTGGGTGTCGTTCACATACACGTGGAAGTGTACCCCATGTCTGCGAATGTCATCCCCAAGAGGGAGCATGTAGATTGGAAAGAGCAGGGGGCCAAGGATGGATCCTTGGGGTACCCCGCAGATCACCAGGTGAGAGTGGGAGGAGAAGCCGTTTGTGCAGATGTACTGCTGGCGGTTTGTGAGGTAGGACTCGAACCAGGCGAGTGTGGTTAAGACGTCTCAAAGCGCTTCACACGATATATTGTAAAGTGGATTGAAAATATGGTTTGTGGGCGGAATGCAGCAGCCAATTGTGCACAGCAGTGTCCCACAAACCGCTGTAGATTGTTTTGTGGAGGGAATATTATCTCTAGGAAGCTATCCACCAATTGACTACCAATTGGGTTCCTACTTACTGCTAAATAGAGGTGTGTGGGGTAAGGGCTCTTGCCTAAGGTTTTGCTCCGCATGGGAATCAAATCTGGGTCCTTTCACTTGCAAGGTGAGCGCTCTAACTAGTATTCTACAGGACTCTACTCCAAGTTACTACAAGTTACTACCTTGAAGTTGTCAACTGTTGTACTGCTTTATTTTTGGTTCAGGGGCCTGCCTGTGTGAGGACTCCAAAAAACACAGAGTGTAATCTTATTCTCAAGACCCCCCCCATTGATTCCTCCCGCTGCTTCTCCAATCTGTTTACATCATGCTAAGGTTTATTAATATTTCTTGCAAAGAGACGCTACACTGTGCATGAGTATCGTATGACCTATTTCAGTCAAGGAGTCCTTATTTAATTCTTCATTGGAACTAATTATACTCAGGAACCACTTACCCGATAACATGCAAAACAGCAATTTCCACATTACAAGGACCCTCTGTGTAAAGACATTTTGTTACAGTCTGTGTATCATTAAATCAATCTGACCCATGAATAGGGCAGTGAACACAACAGTCATTGTTTTTTCTCCAAATTGTGAAATTAACTATAATGATAATCCTTATATTTGATATAGCGCCTTTCACGTTGGGAGGACTTCTCAAAGCGCTTCATATGATGTTCTGCATCCAAGGCTGCACTCTCCACCTCTCAAAGCCAGTCAGGAACCTCGGCGTTTTGTTCGACCGTGAGCTGTCCTTTCTCCCTCACATCCACACCACAACTGGCACTGCCTTCCATCACCTCTGGAACATCGCCAGACTACGGTACTACCTCACCCCTCACGCTGCTGAAACCCTGGTCCACGCCTTCGTCACTATGGACTATGGGAACTCTCTCCTCGCCGGCCTTCCTGCCACCTCCCTCCACAAGCTGCAGGTCATTCAGAACTCTGCAGCTCATGTACTGTCCCGCACCAGGCTTCGGGACCACATCACTCCCACCCTCGCTCGTCTCCACTGGCTCCCCATCCCCCAGAGGATTGATTTCAAAATCCTCATCCTCACCTATAAGGCCATCCACGGCCTTGCTCCCTCCTACCTCTCTGACCTACTATCCCCCTACCTACCTGCCCGTACCCTCCGTTCTTCCGGCTCCGGTCTGCTCCACGTCCCCCGCCCCAATCGCCCTACCATCGGTGGTCGGGCCTTCAGTCTCTCAGCCCTGAGGCTCTGGAACTCCATCCCCCAGTGCCTTCGCCTTGCTTCCTCCCTCTCCTCCTTCAAGGCCGGTCTCAAAACCTTTCTCTTTGACCGAGCCTTCAGCTCCCCTCTCGACTCTCTTCCCCCTCCTCGCTCCCTCTCTTCCCTCCCCTCACCCTGACCATTTCCCCCCTCCTCGCTCCCTCCCTTCCCTCCCCTCACCCTGACCATTTCCCCCCTCCTCGCTCCCTCCCTTCCCTCCCCTCACCCTGACCATTTCCCCCTGCTCGGGTCCTGACCCAACTGTGCAGCGCCTTGGGACGTCCTCCTGACGTGAAAGGCGCTTTATAAATGGAATCTTGTTGTTGTTGTAAAGTGGAGTGACTGTATATTTTGTGCATGAATGCGGCAACCAATTTACGCAAAGCATTGTTCCACAAACAGCCATGAAGTGAATGGTTAATTTTGTTTGGGGGATTGTCAGCCAGGATAATGCAATACACAATTACATTTGTATAGAGCCTTTCACGTCAGAAGGCAGTCCCAAGGCATGGGACAGTCAGGGATTTGGATCTGAGTAGTCGGGCTTGGGGTAAGGGAGGGTGGAGGGCAGGAAGGATTAGGAGGGTAGCCAAAGGCATGGTTGAAGAGGAGGGTCTTGAGATGTGCCTTGAAAGAGGCAAGGGAGAGAGCGAGGCAAAGGGAATGTGGGATGGAATTCCAAAGGGTGGGGGCGTAGAGGCTGAAGGCCCGATCGTCAATGGTGGCGCAGGCCAGGTGGGCGATGTGGAGCAGGCCGGAGTCTGCTGAGCAGAGTGAGTGGACAGGTTGACAAAAGATTAGCAGGTCACTGAGGTAGGAAGGAGCAAGGGATGGGGAGCCAGTGGAGCCGAGCGAAGATGGGTGTGATGGTGTCATGGAGCCTGGTGCAGGTTAGGACATGAGCTGCAGAATTCCTAATAATCTGCAGCTTGTGGAGGGAAGAGTTGTGAAGGCCGACAAGCAGGGAGTTGGCATAGTCGAGACAAAGGAGAAAGTTCCTTCTCTTTTCGAATAAGAGTTTACATTGTTACCTCGGCAGGATAGCGGGTGCTGTCCACTGTGTGCTCTGATCCCAGGGTATCTCCACACCCCCAGTGAAGGTGTAGCTGAGCTGCTCTGTATGTCTGTGACAGACCGCTGGTTATGCTCATTGTATCCGGGAGCGAAAGTTGGACTTGAGAAGAATAAAATAACACACAATCTTTATTCCCTTACTCTTATATTCACTGGCTCCATTTCCCAATCAATTGTAATTTCACATAGTTTTACATTCTAACAAGCTGTTCCTATGAACAATATTTATCGTTTGGGGGGCGAGTTCATCGCCGCAATGTGGAAATGTAGGATAGACACATTGTGAATTCCCATTCTCAGCAAGGCAGCCAGAGCTTCCCCCCCAACATCATGGTACAATGCAAGGCAATACCCTCACTCTTTTGGTGCTGAATTTCAGTGCAGCAGAACAGGAAATCAACTGAATGAAGTTGGTTTGCTCTGAGCTTTCTTTACTCCAATTCTGCCTCCAACACAGCAGATGGGACTTGGGCTCGACTGTGTCGAGAATCCAGGAAGGTGCCTGTGAGTGAGAGACGGGTAGTGGGGGTAGGGGTGGGGGAGTCTGTTGGCAGAAATGAGTGTGAGTGCCATTAATTATCCAACTATAGGAAATTTGCAATGTTTCGTGACTATCACAAGGAAACCGATTACGAAAGTTTTCCTGATAAACAAACTTACAATACAATCACAATAAATTGATTCCCGTTTCAAGTTGTGAAGACTTTTCAAAGTGCTTAAATTTATAACAAATTGGTTGTTTTAGTCCTGAGTGTAACACATTGGCATCACCGCCCTGTGACCACCAACAAAACCACTCGCTATGCAGAGGGTTTTCTCCAGGAAATCTCCTAGAAAGGAACATAAGTCTCTCCAGCCACCCTCTCCCAAAACCGCTGAATAAAACTTCCCCACTAAGAAGGAAGTGTTTACCTGTATGTCCATTGTTGGACAAGGTGAGTAAATCTGCTTCTGGTAAATTGTAACCTTCAACGGTGATTGGCACTAGGCTTGTCTTCAGCAAAGTTTTTCTTACGACAATATTGATAGGAGACTGTGCATGTCCCTCACACAGTTTGTAGTCTTTGCTCCAGGCTTCCTTACCTGAAGAAGGAAAGCAAAGTATGCCTATTCATCTGATGTAACTTAGTAAATTTATCACCTCTATTCTCTACACTTGCAACAGTTTACAATAAGGTATTTCTGTCAGAGGCAATACTCTGAGATTAGCGACTCTTGTGTTCCAGTGGATGATGAGACAACCAGTCTCTTGAATGAGAATCTCTAAATGTTCACTGTGTGCTATCCTGAAAGGTATTAAACTCATCATTTTTTAATAAAATTATATTTACAAACAATTGTTAATTTTAACATCTTTTTATCTATTCATTTCTCCTTGCACATTGATTCTGCTCGGAATAGTTATAATTAACATTGTAAACACAAATCCAGATTTCAAACACTTGATCTGCCATTGTCTATTATTTAGTGATTTAACCAATACACCAACACTGAGAAACACATCCTTTGTGAGACAGAATGCTTGGTATCAAATAGTTCCCTGTTAGTACGTGTCCCATTCAGTATCTGGAAATCCATGACCCTGACTCATGGGAATGCCACTCGCCAATCCATATTCGGAATGGGTTTCTCTCGAGAAGGTGAGCTCCTAATGTAAAAGGTTTAAATGGGATTAAGAAAGTAAACCAGCACAATATTTTTGGATTCACCGTGGCGGCAGAACAAGAGGTACATAAGCCTAAAGATGCATAGCGGAATTTCAGGAGGTGTAACTTTACCCAGAGAATAATGATCAACTGGAATAATTGTTACCAGGAAGGGTGGTTAAAGTTAGGACATGCAGACTTATGTAACAAAATAGCTTTGATGCTACGATGAAAGGACAGTCGGGTTGGTGTTCTGGAAGGATGAGATCAAATGGGCTGAAAGGGCTTCATCCTCTGAAAATCTCATGTGAGTCACTGCACAGATTCCTTAATTACAAGATTGAATTTAGATTAGGAAATAATCGAGAAATACCGCAAAATTGAGCCCTCTATAATTAGAAGTGTTATTACCTCTGAAACACAAGAACATAATACAGACCCACAGTTTGATAGCTGTACAAGGAAGTGGTTTATAGCTAGGTTTAAATGTTTGATAGTGCTGTGTGGCTGTTGTGCATTAATTGTTAATCTTTGCCATAACTGTTAAGGCCAAAGAAGAACCGTTCAATTAACTATTACCTTCATAACTCCAATGGCCATGTGAATTACCTTAGGGGGAAAAGAAAAAGAGTCATTAGTATGACAGAGTTAACAACTGGGTTCAAATTAATAATGATAAATAATAATAATCCTTGCATTTGACATAGCTTCTTTCATGTTGGGAGGATGTCTCAAAATGCTTCACAGTATTTACTGTAAAATGTAGTGACTGCATTTTGTTGGTGACACTGCATCAGATAAACAGTTGATTGTGCCAGTATTGCCAGCATTGTTTCAACAAATAAGGAATGGGTACCTTGAATTTATCACAATAGACACTCTGCATTCACTGCTGTTCAGTTATTTGTGATCTATCGGAGTCCTGTAGCTCAGTGGGTAGAGCATTCGCTTTGTACGCAAGAGACCTGGGTTGGATTCCAGGCAGGGCGAAAGCTTGGGCAAGTTTCGTTACTCCACACACCTGATAATAATCCCTCAAAAAAAAATTGGTCACTTCAATCTACGACTGTTTTTGGGACACTGCTGTGCGCAATTGGCTGCCGCATTTCGCCCACAAATATACAGTCTTTCCGTCAGTGTAATTTGCAGGTGAACGTATTACTCGTGAACCAGAAGTCACATTCTCAGTCAACTTTAGCTTTCTGCTGCTTGACAGAGAAAAGCTCAAACAAAGCCCATCAGAAAGCAAGATGCCTGCACTAAACTACCCCTTTGCAGGCCTTCAGAACTGGGATTGTTTTCTCCTGGATTTATTTGAGATTTGTTTTTCATCAAATTTAATAACAAGTGTTTTCACCCAAACATTTCCATTGTAGGGGAGGAATGCAGCTGTAGGACTTCAAGGCAATTTGGAGAAAAGGTCATTAACTTCATTCATGATTTTTGAAACAAAACTGAACCTGGCTCATTCTTATCTCTGGGCTCGAAGATCAATGCTTCCTGTATTGTGATAAGTGCCTCAACACTGGCAGGGAAAGAGAGCACAGCAGCCTGTACCTATTTTTCAGTAACAATGAGGACAATTCCTGTCTCACCATAGTGTCTCGGGAAAGCTTAAAACAGTACATCAAAAGGACATAGGTTTAGAGTTGCAAAGGCCAATTTCAGGACAGACACCAGGAAGATTTTCTTTAATGAGTGGAACAGATTACCAGGAAGTGTTTTGTAGGCCAGGCCACTGGATATTTAAAAAGCAGCTTGGTACTGTGTCGAGAGGTCGGTAGGGTGGGTGTTCTGAAGGATAAGATCAGATGGGCTGAAGGAACTTCTTCAACCAACCTGATCTTGTGATCTTGGGATCACATGGCAATGGAAGTGAATGAATGAAGCTTCACTGATGTAATTAAACTAATGGGCTCAGCATCAAAGACAGCTTGGGAACAGTTAATAATTCAGCATTTGGCTGAACTCTCTTCCTTTGTTAAAGAAGGGGAGTAACTTGATCTTTTGTGGTGACTATCCTCCTTGTGGGGGAGGCAAGCAGCATCTCCTCAGTGATGAGATGATAATGATAATCCTTGCATATGATGTAGCACCTTATCATGTCCTCGAGACGTCTCAAAACGCTTCACAGAATATACCGTAAAGTGAATCGACTGTATATTGTGTTGGTGAAACACGGCAGTCAATTGTGCACAGCAGTGGACGAGTGATCAAATTGGTTTTTTTTGAAGGGATATTACCCCAGAAAATTATCTGCCAATCGACTAACAAGCGAGTTCCTACTTGCTGCTAAGTAAACAGTGGCAAGCGGAGTATAGAAAATTGCTTAAGGTTTCGCCCTGCCCAGGAATCAAACCCAGGTCCTCTCGCTTGTGAAGTGAGTGCTCTGACTAATATAGGCTACAGGACTCCACAAATAGAGATAGCTCCAAACTGCTGTGCTAGTAACTCTACATCAGAATTAAGACAACCCTGATAGCTGGAGTTTTTGTTAAGGTTTTCCTTGGGCTAAAATCTGAACTGGTGCAATGATCAGCTTGTTTGAGACCTGCTTGTTATAAAGTTAGGTCAGAGGTACAGTTCTGTTTCAGACAATTGGATACTCATGGAAAAGATTTCAGGCTTTATTTGTGTAGGTTGTATCAATCCCACAAACTGTGAAATCATAGACAGTGCACATAGATTCACTTTCCGGGTCTGGCCTCCTCCTTCTTCCGCTCCACCCTCGGCGGCCGTGCCTTCAGCCACTATGCCCGAGGCTCTGGAACTCCTTTCCTCACTCCCTTCGCCTCGCTCCCTCTCTTCCTATTTTCAGGTCTCTGCTGAAAACTTTTCTTTTCGACCGCACCTTTGGTCACCTCCCTCCCCCTCCCCTTGGCTCGGCCCCGGGTCTCCGTTACTGTGAAGCGCTCTGAGACGCCGTCCGGCATGGAGGGCGCTATATAAATCCAAGTTGTTGTTGTTATAGTTGGCAGCACCAGAGTGAGTGACTGTACCACCCTCTGATTTGTTGTACAATGTTTGTTAGGATGCACTCCACTATTTATTTTATATGATTCGATTTCACTTTGGTTCACTCTAGGGTGATGCAAATTAAAAAGAAATTGACAGCAGTTGTGAAATCTCTGTATTGTTACATTGGCTAAGTTTTAATCAAAAAACTGTCCCTTCTGAGTTGAATAATAAAGCACATTTACTTGTTGCAAGATTTAAGTTTAACAATGCCATTTTTATTGACCGCCCTTCACACACGCACACACACAATTGCCAATGTTTCACAAGGGATTCACAAAACAGCGGGAAAGCTAGGTAGACGGAATTAGGATGGGTGGAGGCTTTTGTTATAATTGTTGCATTTGATCATGTCAGGAGGATGTCTCAAAATGCTTCACGGGATATACTGTAGATTATTATAATCATATTTTGTAGGCAAAAGCGTTAACTAATTTATGCATGACAATGTCCTACAAACAGACATTAGGTGATTAGCCAACTTTATTTATTATTTGGGGTTTAGTTTAATTGAGCTGAATGGCTTGTTTCTGTGCTGTAGATGCTATGTAATTTTATGTGAAACTATAAAAGATACAGATTTTTTTTACGGGAATTTGTTACCAAATCCCACAATTTCAGTCACAAGTTACAAATCCCACAATTTCAGTCCGAAATCACAATCTAGATTGAGAATATTACACTTTAGATCCCATTCAAATATCAAATTAGGGAAATCACATTGATGCTGCAATAGATACAGAAAACTGAGATGGACAAATTGGCATATGTGGGCCCTCAGTCTGGTTTGTATATACTTAAGTACGGAGAAGGGTTTCCACATATATCAGACTACACCCCCGCAAAAAAACAATTCTTAATTTGTGTTTGTATTTAGATCACAAAATTTGGTGATGCATTGAGACCGAGAGAATGTTTAACTGTTGATATAAAGAGGCAACTGAAAATGTTGCATAAACTAAATGCTCTGGCGTACAAGCAATTGCCCAAAGGCAATAAACATCTTTTATCTCATTAGAGCCCTGAGAATGGCAGTTTTTCTTACATTATTTGAAATGTTTATCATCCAGAAAGACAACATCCAAGACGAACAGTTAATTCTCCACAGATGGCGCATTGTATAAAGTACAAAATACTGTAACAGCAAAGTCAAGTCAGGTACACGAGGAATTGATAGTTATGTAATAGGGTCAATCGTACACCTGCTCTGCTGTGCAATAATAATCCTTTCATTTGATATAGTGCTTTGTCACGTCGTTGAGACGTCTCAAAGCGCTTCACAGAATATATTGTAAAGTGAATTGACTGTGGGTGTATTTTGAGTACAAAACGCAACAGCCAATTGTGCACAGCAATGTTCCACTAGGATTCACTTCATGTTTGCACTGATGTAAACTCCAAGATTCGACAATATTCCAACATCAGCTCATGGAACCCTTTCTAAGTATGTAGATAAACAGATTTATTCAAATCGCACTTGAGCTAATGGTGCCTAAAGCGAGTCTCGATCATGTGCGTCAGCCTCGCACAGTGGTACCACTCTCGCCTCTGAGTCAGAAGGTTATGGATTCAAGCCCCACATCAGGACTTGGAATCACAAAGTCTAAGTTGACACCCCAATGCAGTGCTGGGGGGGTGTTGCATTGTCGGAGATGCTGTCCTTTGGATGAGTCATTAAACCGAGATCCTGTCTGTCTGTTCAGGTGGATGGTAAAAATCCCATAGCACTATTCAAAAAATGGGAGTTTTTTCCGGTGTCCTGACCAATAAATCCCCCAAATAAAATTGTTCACTCACGCCATGGTTGTTTGTGGGGCACTGGTGTGTGCAATTTGGCTGCCGCTTTACGTTTACACAAGATAATCAACTTACAGTATATCCTGTGAAGCGATTTGTTATGCCTCAACGACTTGATAAGGCGCTACATCAAAATGCCAAATGCAAGCATTATTATTATGTACCTTGCAGAATGACTTTAATCATTACCCCGTAGCATACACAGCAGCTGCTCATGAGGTAATTGTGAAATCTTGGGCTATGGTGAACAAGGAAACAAAGTCTCACATGTACCAAATGTGAGCAATGTTAAACAAGGCAACTTCTGCAGTGCATTGCACTGACCCACAGGGACTCTTTTCCTGAGCTGTCCACCTCCAGTCAGTTCTAACAGGATTCCTTATTCGAGATTCCCATTAAGAAACATCGCAGAATAAACCTCAACGTTTTAGAAATAAGCGGAAACACAAAACTCACAAGTGAGGAAATCCTGATGAGCTGAAGGTTTTGCTTCCAGCTGAGGGAAACTGGTGTGAACTATTTAAATTTTAACAGGATTGTTACCTTGAGGTGTGTAAATATGCCTCACAGTGATGTAAGGAGTTTTTTCTATACAGAAGTGGTTTGATTTTTCTCCAGCTCTCTGCCTAATACTGAAAACTGGAGGTTAACAAGCTGTTGTGGCAGCTAGAATTCAAACCTGAAGGATGATCACACCTTTTAGAATGCAAGATAATAATAATTTGGTATAGTGCCTTTCATGAGCACATCCCAGAGCGTTTCACAGGTTATACTGTAAAGTGTTGTGACTATGTATTATGAAGGTGAACCCGGCAGCCAATTTGTGCACAGTGATGTCCCACAAACAGCCATGAGGGTGAGTGACCAATTTTATTTGGGGAGATTGTTGACATTGATATCGGTAGAAACTAGCTATTCTTTTTGAACCGTGCCATGGGATCCACCTGAACGGGCAGTCGAGACCTCGGTTTAACTTCATATCCAAAAGAAAGATGTCATCATCTGGGAACAATAGTTCTAGTTATAATACAGGCATACAGCAGCGCCAGGCATTCTAAATCTAGCCTCCCTTATGTTTTTATCTTGTCAGCCAGGTGTCTGACACTTTCAGAAACCCATTTCTATGCTTAAGACAGTTCTCTCAATGGTTAAGTACGCATTTTGGGCTGGTTAAACTCCAGAAGTTACCCCAACACACACTCTCAGTTTGGTTTGGATGCTCTATAAGCACGGTGATGGGTTTCCACATATGTCAGACACCAAGAAAACCACAAAAAGAATATCCAAACCAAACTGGGAGCTTTACATGTGTGTGTACCACCTGCACATGGAAATGTCCTTGTATCTGGAATGTAATGCGCACTCTCCCTCTGGAAGAACATATCCAGCTTACCAAATGCCAGAGAGTATTAGTTTGGCAAGAACCCAGAGTGTGTGTTAGGGTACTGCTGGAGTTTAACCAGCTCAAACTGTATAACTTGCCTTTGAGAGCACTAATAAGCTTCCTACAGCTTATCCACTTAGGACAACTGTACTGCTTAGGCTGTGGCTTGCAAGGCTAACATACATCTCTGTGTATGCAGCTCTTTGTTATGTTACGTTGAAGATTTTATGTCGATTTGGCATGAACGTCACTTCAAACTAATGCAAAAACCTGTTTTGGAACCACTCAGTTGGACACAGATACAGCAACATTTAACAGAGATATAGTATTACACTATAAGGTAGAAATGGTCTTATTCCTTGACAGCACAATAAAAAATTATATCTGTATAGAGCCTTTCAGGTGTAGAACAAAACATGCAGATTCACTTTATATTTTAGAGCATGATAACTTAAGGTAAAACGACAATAATCCTCACAACATGAAACACAGAGCAGAGCTACCAGATTTACCTTTTACATGTCACAGGCTCATTCAATAAAACATTCAATTGGATATTTTGTTAACTGGCTAACCACCCTCTGATACAGATAAACTGCACTGAATCACTTCCCAAAGTGTGCTAAGATTTTGGGTGAGTCTGTGGCTTTAAAAGTTGTCAAAATGCACTTCGAAATCAATTGCCCGTGAGAGGGAGGTGGAGCACAATTCAATAATTAATAACTTAATTAAATACTCATTTTGTATTTACATTTAAATGGACTGAACACTTTGACGTCACTTTGCAATTTAGCTCTGTGGTAAACAGTTTCTTGAGGACTTTGGATATTAAAGTACGTTTCTGAGACGGTCTGAGCAAATATTGTACATCAACAAATGCTTTCTAGCCCCTTGAGGTATAATTCAAATCAATGAGCCTTTGTCAACACAGTATTACATCTTTGGATCAAATCATCTTACCTTTGTGCTTTTCTTCATGGTGAGGAGCTGGAGTTGAGGTACACTTCCCAGCGTATAAAAGCTGAACCAGTAACAGAACCAATAATCTCTGCATTATATTGTGAATGTTAAAATTTCTGCTGTAGCATAAAGAACTGCAAGTGTATTTGCTTAATTGCTGTGGCTGTCATATACCGATGCACATAAAAGTCTCACTGGCATTGGTAACCCTAAGAATCTTTCGTTTGAAGCTATGATTCAGTAACTCTGCCTCCTCTAATGTTTAGATGTTTTACGTCAGGTGAATGACACACTGTGTTGAATTCCGACCAACAATTAAAGGTGACAGTCAGTCATTGGATCCACATTACTGTTTTGCCAGACAGAAAATAAATCTTTGTTGTCGTGCAATGTGATTCCAGATTTTTAACACTTTCCCTCTAATACCGTTAAAGAGCAGGATTAAATGTAGTTTTATATTGTAGTGAAGCTTAGGGACCAAAAACACATTTTATTTGTCCAGCTGATGAGTTTCCCCAAGATTTTTAACAGTATATAAAGTAAATGAGCTACAAAAAAAAACTATCCAGTTTTGTAACAAAGAAAATTGTATTTCACTGAAGTAATAACTTCAAGGGGGAACCCGTGTAGCTGACTCTTTTTAAGGTACTGTATTTGACTAGTTTCCTTTTTAAACGGCAGGTAATAGTAATCCTTGCATTTGATATAGCGCTTTTCACGTCGGGAGGATGTCCCAAAGCGCTTCACAGAACACACTGTAAAGTGAATTGACTGTATATTTGTGGGCGAACGCGGCAGCCAATTGCGCACAGCAATGTCCCACAAACAGTCGTAGATTGAAAATGACCAATTTATTATTGTAAATGGGACTGAAAAGATTCTTCTTGAGGGAGCGGGTGTAGACATGATGTGTTGAATGGCCTTCTTCTGTAAATTTCTATGGTTCCATTAAGTAATAGTAATCGTTGTCATCAACATCATTGTAACCATAACAATAGTAATACGTATGTGGCAAGGTAAAACAAATATAGTTCCTATAATCATTGGTGCGACTGGGACTGTTAATACAACTATTCAGAAAATATCTTGACAAAATATCAATCTCCTGGAAAACGTAGGAATTTTAGGAAGCTCAAGTATACAGTACTATTAAAGTAACATCCATTCATATGTGACGTGACAGTGTTATTGGTCTGGCTGACCCATCACTGAAAATTACACAGAAATCACCTCCACAGAGTGATTTAAACTGTAATAACATAATAATGATAATCCTTACAATCCTTGCGTCTCATCTACCACCTTTGCCGTAGGGAGGATCTCTCTTTAAAGGTTTGTACAAAGTCACTGAGCGATGACAGGGACAGATGTCTCACAGTGTCCATGCTGGCAGTTCCTGAGGACACTGTGGCACCATCTGAGATGCTTGGAGCCTTTCCATAATTCAATGCTTCTCCAACCATTGTTGAGTGGCTGACAGTTGACTTTCATTGACTGCATTGAGTCAATTCTGTATACTTAATTCAAATAAATTCATTAAGTTATAACCTTTTGGGTTTTGGGACACTGAGATAATCAAGCTCATAGAGACGGATACTCCTTCAATAATAGGTTTTATTCAAGAAGCCTGTACAGAAAGGCGGCATTTACTGATTTGAGAAACTGTATAATTATTGGCTTCTATCCAAAACTGTTTCATCTTTAGGCTAGTTATTGACCAATACTTATACTGCTGAACAAACATGTCAAATTCTGTCATTGACCATTAACCCAACCTATATTTAAGAGAACAAAGACTTCAAACAACTAACATTGGTTACCCACACCCACACTCCTCGCTTCTGTTCCTTAGAGTTTGAGACTGCCAACACACATTTCCTTGCCACTTCTGCATGCCAAAGCCCCACTAGTCATATCTCTTATCTACATAACTACACAGGGACAGTAGATAAAGGAAAAAGAGACACTATTCATTTCTATCAAGGTCGCAAAGGTTCTCGGCAGAATTTTGTTTTAAAGGTTTAGCGCTACAAATGTTAAGTGACTTCCATTCTAAGCAAAATGAAAACAGCATAATAATCAACTTAAACAAATCTAATAGTCTATAATGTTTAAGTAATTACAAATTTATGTTTCTTACTGGTAAAACTCCCAAAGCAGTGGTACATATATTATCATGAAGTGCTTTGAGATGTCTTAAAGACATGATAAGGCACTATATCAAATTCAAGTATTATTATTATTATATTCCATGATGCATCATTCTTAACCCCTTACCATCCTGTTTGCTCCCTCTGCTCAGCGGACTCCGGCCTGCTTCACGTCCCCCGCCTCGCTAACCCCGCTATTGGCGGGTGGGCCTTCTGCCACTCTACCCCCACCCTCTGGAACTCCATCCCACAGTCCCTCCGCCTTGCCCCATCCCTTGCCACCTTCAAGACCCACCTCAAGACCCTCCTCTTCAACCGTGCTTTCGATCTCCCTGCTTAACCCCCTGCCCTCCACCCTCCCCAGCCCAACCCCCAGCTCGGGTCCCTAACTCTGTCTGTCCAGCGCCTGACGTGAAAAGTGCATTACAAATTTAATTTTGTTATTACTGTTGTTCTTATGCCAAGAACACCTCGCCCATGATACTTCACTCTGCTTAAATAGTTGTATATGATGGACCTTGAACTATTGAATGGGATTAGCCTGCATTTGACTGTAGCATAGAATTTGAGGCCTGAAATTTCACCTGGTCTTATCCCGTTAGGGCATCTTGTCTTTAAAATTTAAGATGGCCAGAATTGTGAAAAAATCTTCAATTCAGTCTTAATTAGCAGCCTTAATTTGCCCACAAATATAGTCAATTCACTTTACAGTATATTCTGTGAAGCGCTTTGAGACGTCTAGAAGATCTGAAAAGTGCTATATCAAATGCAAGGATTAGTATTACATATTATGATCAATTCCGATTTTCCATCAATTCCTTCAGAAAAATGGCTTCTACAATTCTGCTCAAACTATCATTTTAAGACAAAATAAACAGGGGATTTCAGTGCTTGTGTGGAATGTCAGAACCATGTGACTGTGTTTTTATAATAATCCTTGCATTTGATATAGCGCCTTATCATGTCTTCGAGACGTCCCAAAGCGCTTCACAGAATATACTGTAAAGTGAACTGACTGTATATTTTGTGGGCAAAACACAGCAGCCACTTGCACACAGCAGTGTCCAACAAACCACCATGGATTGAGTGATCAAATTATTTTAGTTATTTATTTTTTTGAAGGGATTATTACCCCCGGAAAAGCAATCCCTTAATCGACTAATAACCGGGTTCCTACTTGCTGCTGGGTAAACAGAGGCATGTGGAGTCAGGAAACTTGCCCAACATTGTACCGTGCTCGGGAATCAAACAAAGGTCCTCTTGCTTGCGAAGTGAGTGCTGTAACCATTGAACTACAGGACTCTACATAATCCGATGAGATGAAGGTGGAGTGGGAGGTAGGGTGGTGCCCACAGTAAGATAGTAATATCTTGTGAGCCGGATGTCTGACACATGAGAGTTCAGTTCTACCTGTGCCACCTACACATGGAAATTTTGCATTTATTTAGAATTAGGTGTGCATTCCCTACCAAGTGCAACACACCTTGCTTACTATTACTGCTAATCACCACATTTGTGCTCAATATGGACTTGATAACATTCTTGAGCTCAGGGATAAGATGTCCAACACAATGCACATATGTGACCACACTTCAGTCCCAATTGATAGAATGAAGGAATGCTCTTTAAAAGAGCCAGCACAGACTCAATGAGCCAAATGGGCTTCTTCTACTCTATACTTTGCTATAGTTCTAAGGTTTTAGAGTACACTGAAGGTGGTAATAGGAGACAATTTTTGTTGGTTGCCTGCGCCTTCTATCACCCTCCTATCTCCACCCTACAACAACAAATTGCACTTATATAGCGCCCTCCACACAGGGTAGCATCTCACAGCGCTTAGCAGTGGTGGAGCCTGAATCCGAGCAGAGTCGGGGGGTGGGGTGGGGAGGTAACCGTATGCACAGTTGAAAGAGCGGTTTTCAGGCAGGACCTGAAAAGGAGGAAAGATGGGGCAAGGCGGAGGGATTGAGGGAGAATGTTCCAGTTTCAGGGTGCAGTGGCTGAATGCGTGACCTCCAATGGTGGTTCGAGGGACAAGTAGGAGTCCAATGCCAGTCAAGCAGAGGCACCGGGTGGTGGATTGGGCAGTGAGGAGGTTGGAGAGGTAGGGAGGAGCCAGAGAGTGAAGGGATTTGAACACGAGTGTGAGGATATTGAAGTTGAACCTGCCCGTAGCGCTTTGGGACATCCTCCCAAAGTGAAAGGCGCTATACAAATGTAATTTGTTGTAGTTCTTGAGAATTCTAATTTTTTTTGACAGCTTTTCCAGAGATCTTCCGCACCTATATATCTGGTTATGGCCACCAACCCAGGGAGCTGGCTGTTTCTAACCTAGGAGAGGCATTTTGCCTTCATGGAATAGTGAGTAAAGAACAACACTAATCAAACTTTCTTGATTGTTATCGATTTCCATCTTCTCAGGGTTGAAAATAGTCGACTTAAGGCCTGAAATTTCACCTTACTCAAGATTGAGCACAGTTAAGAAAAAATCTTAAATTCAGTCCTTATTTGGAAGCAAGCTCTTTTTAAGAAGATTGTAGACAGGTTTTCAGATTAATCCTGAATTTAAAAATTTTCTGCAATTTTCACTAGATCAGATTTTAAGGTAAATGGTCTTAGAAGGTAAGACCAGGAGGAATTTTGACGCCCTGCTATCAGTCCACTGTCCAACTATATCAACATCTGTCTGCTGTCTCTCCCTAACTATGTCAACATTTATCTGCAGTGAATTAGTAGGTACTTTAATTATCTTTCAACAACCACATTAAAATGATTTTCTGAGCAGTTTTGAACAGTTAATTTCTGGTGCTGTCCATTTTTTTGAACACAACTTTCAAAATGTTATGGTGTGAAATGCACTCACTGAACATCTCACCCCAATCTTCTGATAGAATCATTAGGTTTCTTTGCGTTAAGTGCTTAACACCATATAGTATTCTCTCATTTCTCTGCTTCCTTCAAGAAAGGAATATTAAGGCTTCAATTGAAATAATGACCTTTCAGATTCTGTGAGTATTGCAGATAAGGGGTAAAGTTTGGTATTTCTAACCCATTTCTTGTGCTAATTTACACATGGTTAAGTCTCTGCAAACACTTTACCCTTCTATT